TGAGCCATTCGTCAAAGTGTAGAACTATATAGCTACTCCATCGTCTCGCGTAGACGGAAGGATGCTATATTATTATTATTATTATTATTATTATATATATATACATATATAAACATATAATTATTTTAAATAACTGAAAATAATTATTTAATGTTTTTTTTAAAGTGAAGCTGCTGTTAATGGTTGTTTACATGGGCGCCCGCAGAAAACTTTCCGGGGGGGGGGGCAAAAAAAATACATTAACTTTCCAGGGGGGGGGCAAAAATTTTTTAGTAATGTTTTAATAAAACGGACAGAACATCAGTTAATTTATTTTTTCTTTTTTTTTTCTTTTTTTTAATAAATTTTTGGTCTTTTTTTGTTTAAAATTTTTTTATCCAATCAATCCAGGGGGGGGGGGGCAAGTGCCCCACCTTGCCACTACGTGCGGGCGCCCATGGTTGTTTATTACATTAATTTGTAAGAGAACTACACCGACAGTCGAGTGGATGTAACGTGCATATTGTACAACTATACTACATAAGATTGTGGCAGATTTTAATAAAAAACTGTAATTTTTGCTAAACTTTTCCTTAAACTTTCGTGTCTGAAACAATGCAAATGTAACCAGTCGTTCTCTTTCCAGTGTTTTAATCAGATCGTCAGAAATTCTAAGACAATTCAAACGTCGTTTTCTTCATTTTTAGGGCTTAGAATAGGTTTATATGATTTTGTGATTCGCTAATAATTTACCTCGGTTTCGCCCAGGGAAAATTTACATTTTAGATTTAATTATTTTTAAAAATGAAAATCACGTGGATAGAACGTTTAGTAAAATATAAAGGGCGTGAGATGCACTTGACATTTTGACCACTCGAGTGTCTTAAACATTCAAACACATGTCTTATTTCTATTTCTTTAAAAAAAATATTGAAGTAAAATTTAACCGGTTCTGAAATAACTGAGTCGCCAAAGTGTTGTGCTTTAATTATAAAACAGGTCATGATTTGTTCCTTATTTTAACTGATTAGAGTTTCAAGCAGCCAGTTTCTGAAATAAAATAAGTTGAATGTGAAAACTACTATTTTTATGCGTTTTATAGGGTTGACAACTTTTTATTTTAAAGGAATATACAGTAATAAACATTTATTTTTATTAAAAAGTGTGACTACATTTATGAAGTAGTTTGTTCCACTTGCTTCGTGGTGTTATTAATTCCTTAAATATTATGCGTTATAAAATTGATCTATAATATATTATATATTGATATATACCATTTGATGTGTTCGAAACTATAATTTGTCAATAGGTATATTCAGATTCCTTAACTTATTTTACTTTTTACTTTTAAACACTATGTCTATTTAAATTAGTTTTCCATGTGAAATTAATGTCCTTATGCAATGACGCATAGTAGCACTTGCCATTCTTAACATTTAATTATACTGAAAACAATGGACTGAAAACAAGATTTGAACAGAGTCTTAGTCTTCTATAAGTATTGAAATTTAAACCAAAGTTCATTATTCTCCGACATGACTTACATCCACTTACATACCCACACATTTCGCTGAAGGAAATGAAATGGAATCGAGATACACATCCATATGTAATTATTTCAGTAGTGGGGTAATAAGGGGAGAGACTCCAATCAGGTTAGCACAATGTAAAAAGAGTAGACCAAAGTAGGGTGAAACTTGAAAAAGGAACGAAACAAAACAGGTTTAAGGTTTAAACATGTTTGAAAGGGGTCCTTTTCAGTAGTGGTTAACAAGAACAAAACCTGAACCGGAGTAATGGGAATTCTATCAAAAAGACAGAAAGTTAAATCACTTACAGTGAAGTTGAAGGGCGTCAATGAAAAGCTGACTTGCATTATTTAATGGTTTATTTCCTTTTTTAAAAAAAAAACGTAAAAAATGTTCTTTAGTTCTTAGATAAAAGGGCATTGTTCTTTTTATGGGGGTAAAAATGATGACAAAAGAATCCTCTGACGCACAGAGGGTTACACTCAACATTAACAAAGGCTAATCACAACTGAAAGGATTGAAATTGAATGTGTGAGTAACTCGTATATCTGAAAGAACCCACACATTGCAATGGGCAGCTAAAATGTTTGAAAAACACACATGACACTTGATTTCTAGTTGAAAAGACACATTAAAAGATAAGTTAAAAGAATATAATTTGTGAAGTAAAAAAAATATGTATTATTACAGTGCAACCATATTTTTCTTTTTAACCCATTTGATTAAGTTATTCTATATTATTATTATTTTCTCTCCAAAGGCTTTCTATATAGCTGGAATGTGTTACGGTCATAAAAAATTAGCTGACTGTCCATGATATTATTTTGATCTCTATTTTTGTTAAGTAAGACGTGTGATCAGGTGGTTGATTTCAAAAAGGACTCATTTTGGCAGGGATATTCTATAATAAAAATTATTTAACACATTTAAGAAATTAGTGTAAAAATTATAAAATTCCAAATAGATAATTATTTCCAATGGTTGTGATTAGAATATCAAATTCAAACATTATTTAACAAATAAAATCTGATGAAGGAATTAATACATTCAAATCCACTCTATCGTTCTTATCAAAATGCTTCCAGTCTGATTTCTATATTGTCAGATTATGAGATTAGTTTCTCAATAGATCATTTACTCTTAGGGTTTATTATTGTTATCACAAGCACCTTAAGTGTACACAGTCAATATATAAACCAGCTCAAACGGTTAATTATACGTTTGTATTAAAAAAGGTTATATAGTGCTTTGTATATCTGTGAAATTATTTTTTTAGTCAAAACTTTTTATTTTGACACGAATCGCTTCAAAGATTCATTTGGCTCATAATTAACTTTTCAAATGATCTATTTAGAAATTAACATTTGGTGAATTTTAACTGGTAATATAATTAAACTTTTAAGGTTTGACTTAATTTAGGAATTGATTTTCCCCTTTTTAAAATGTAGTTACTTTGTCAGTGTTTATGGTTTCTATGTTGTAAATTAGTTTTTTAAACATTGTTCGTCTGTATCTATATTTTAATTTAAGTTATTTATTTCATTTTAGGGTTTTCAAAAGATGTTGGCAATGTCGAGATAGATTCTTAGAAGTTAGAAAAGAAATTTCCCTAAATGCATTAGCACAAAAAATATAGGAAAGTAAAACATTTTTTAAAAAGTTTCTGACAAAAGAAATGAAAAAAAAGCAATCAACCAAGTCTTAAATTACATTAAACTTTACAGAGATAAAAATTATAGGGACCCAATGAAAGAACAGAGTACTGACTTTACGTCAACTATAAGACTGTTCCGACTTTCAAGCTCGTCACTTGGTTAACCATCAGAAAATAATTCTAGAAATGGATCGGAACGACAATTGCTTTGTGTGCTTATTAGTAAGGTATAACTTTATATATATACATACTATTTAAAATCAAGCATTCCAATTCAGAACCATCTGCAAAAACTAAACGTATTTTTTTTATTATACATTTACAATTTTTTTTTTATCTGTATTTGACCATTCATTTCTAAATCAGAGAAAAAATGTTGAATTAATTTTTTTCTTAAATATCTAAACACATAATACTGGTACAAATACAACTATTTATTGACAGTTTATGAATAATAACAAACATAAAAACATCTACCCTTTCTTATTCCTTTTGGCAAACAGTGTTAAATTGAAAAATAAAACGATACGACTTACAATATCAGTGCAAAATACATTTATTTTTTTTGTTAGAAAAGGGTTAATTTATTATGTTTGTGTACATGCAATAATGTTTTACAAACATTTTTAAACAAACAAAAAGTATTTAATAATTTAAAAAAAAAAAAATAGTTATAATCTTAATATTTTATAATATTTCATATAACATAAAAATTAACACAAACTTGAAAAAAGAATTATGAAGATAAAATATTTGTATGTAACAAAACAAAAAGAAATATTTGTAACTTTAGATAATAACGATCATACTTTGCAAATAACCATTCTTTTGAAACGAACGTTTTAAACCATTACGAATATTAACTTATAACGTTATGTACTAATTTTTAGTTTCAAATTTATACACAAGTAATGTTTTAGTTTATATTTTAAAATTTACTGCTGGACACCTGAATTAAATAAGTTGACTCCACATATGTGTCAGTCATTGAAAAACTGATAAAAATCTTTAGGTTTCTGAGATTTTTACTATGCCTATTAACTGCTTTTCTTTTTAAAAAAGTGTTTATATTTCTCCTATCACGTACCACCCCTTGTTTGTTGTATAAAGCCAAACCAAATTGAAATCAAAGTTGCCTTGGTGTGAAACTATTGAAGTCTTGCATCAAAACATTGAACAAAATTATGATGATAGATATGATTAAATCATTTCTTTAAATAAAACTAAAATCAATAGTTCTAATACAAGGTAATTATTATTCTTTTTAAAAAAAAGAAAGAAACAGTGAGCTTTCATCTTTATAAACTACATATTTTATAGAGCTTATAAATAAAAAAAATAGTGAGGAAAAAATCATTGAGACAAAAAAACGGGAAGGACGATGGCGTATTAATACTTGCAGAAGGAAAAGCTTTCCGTTAACATTTGTTCCTTCATTTTTTAAATTAATCCATCCATGTCAAATTGATATCATAGTTCTTCTCAAATAATCAATTTAAATAATTAAATTACAGAGGCAAACATTCAAAATATGTATCATTTATATTCTTTATAGCATTTTTGCATATACATAAAAATAGTGTGTTAGTAAAAATATATAAAATATACATGCTATATTTTGAAATTATAAATAAATATTTATATTACAAAAAGAAATTATTAATAAAAATTATAAATGTATTGTCAATTCTGTTAGAATAATACGTGTTATCAAATATTAATATTAGAGAGAAATTATTACTTTAATCAATAAAAGCAAAGAATATGTTTAAAATTACAACTCACTCTCAAGGAAATAGTTATTCAAAAAGCACAATTATTCGACGAAAGTCTTTCTACGGGATTCATAAACAACGAAAAACTAAAAGTTGGATTTTCAAAAACTTAAAGAAATTTATATTTATATACTATTAAGTTGTTTCTAAGAAAGTTTAAGTCCATTAAAAAATATATATAATTGCTTTAAATAACTATTTTGTATTACTTGTTATAAACTACAAATTGACATTAAAGTGACGTGAATTTAATTTCATATAGATTGAATTTTACTTTTTCTTTGGCATTTAAATATACGTTTTAGATTATTTCGTCTTCTTTTTTTTTTAATAAATCGCACATTTTATATTATCCTTTAAACTATTTACATTAACCATTTACCAACCATGAATAATAATTCGTACTGTTTTTCTATTCTAAATATAGCCCAGTAATTAAACCTTACTTATAATAAATGTGCACAAAATAATATTAAAAATAATCAAACATGTTAAATTAATATTCAAACGTATATTGTTTAATGATATGTTTTCCTATCTACTTTCTACATCATTTAATGTTTTCTGTAGTTATTCATTGATTTTTCCTTTCCTTACCAGTGCTACAGTAATTATAACCTACATTTCTAACACCCAAATAAACGTGATAATGTTTTGCTGATATATCACTAACTCCAAGAATGTAGACGAAAGCTCCAGCACTACCATGGCACGTAGGTGTTGTGTACTGATATCTTGTATATTCTATACCTTTACTTTCTTGCACCACCTCCTTATCTTTCCAATATCCCATTGTGACTTGTTTAGGGAAATCGTGAGGGTGAGACACAATACAAACGAAAGAACTTGTGTGACCATGTTCTTTCCATGTATTGTTGACTTTAGTCACTTTAATACTACATTCTTTGATCAAATAATCTAGCTTAATTAGTAGATCTATATTACAAGTGGCACACTCTACAATGCACCAACCTTCATCAACATTGATTTCATTTATACAACTGCCATACAAAGTGACTGTTTCTTTTGAGTATGAGTCGTAAAACAAATTAAAACATGTTTTCTCTGCTTCATTGTTATCATAAACAACAGTGCTGGAAGTAAGTATAAGCAACTTCCCCCACATATGTGTTTGTACACAAGATCGATTAAAGTTTTGACATGGACAGCATAATCCTCAATTTTCTGAAGCATTGCAAAGCTGAATTATCATTCCAGTCTTCAGTCTAAAACCGTTTTTTTCACTTACATAAAAATTCGGTCACACATTATCGATTTTTCTGTCTGTTTTGGGTCTGTCTTGGCTTTTGAATGTGACAAATACACTTACAGTAAGTTTAGACATAGATTTAATCAAATAAAAAATAAATCTTTGTTTCTACAAATCCCATCAATATGGTTCACCGAGAAATCATTTACTGGATAAAATTGCGTATGACCTGGATTCTTATCACACTTGAAATCCCTTAGAAATTTGGTTGTGTCGGAAACATTTGACGCTGAAAAAACAGCAAATTAATAATAGTACGATTTAACGACAATTATATGCAGTAAATCCATTTGCATAATATTTTTTTTTACCATTTTTTTAAAGCTAAATGGCAGTTTTAATTGATTTATCTCAATCTATATTAACTTGTTTAAGCATTAAATATGCACAAAACAAACAAACGAAAAACAAACAACATTGTTTAAATATAAAATAAATAAATGATAATACATTTAAAACAACCAAACATTTTTCAGTATTTAAGGTTTACATCAAGCAGATATTTTTTTTTATTTTTTTAATCCCTCTTTTATTTTTGTTCTTAAGAATGATTTTAATTATTTTTGTTTAATACGTGGTCTCGTTTCACAGTCTCGATTCGTCTAATAATCTAATATGCCTACATACATTATCTCATTAACCGTGATTTTGCTTACACTTTTGGAGCATGACCAGGTTATCTTTAATAACGCGTGTCATCGGTTGATTGTATGTATGGCATCTTTCCGTCTGCGGGAGACAATTGATTATCTTTATAGCTTGCAGCTCTTGGTGTGGCTGGTGAGACCAATCCTCGAATGGCAGTATCTGTTACATTTCTCACACACGAATGCGGTGGAGCAGTATTTACCGGCCTTCCTCCTCGCTCTTTTGCAGCTATTTCCGCCCTGTTTTGCTCCTCGGCATGTAGTGATACTGCTTTCACGACGCCCCGCCATGAGGATCGATCCTCTGCCAGCTCCTTACAGTTTGAGATGTCGATGTTAGAGAACTTCATGTCTCTTCTGCATAAGTCTAATAAGTATCTCAGACGAGGCCGTCCAACTGACCTTTTCCCTATCGCCTGCTCGCTGTATAGCACGCCCTTTGGTATGCGACCAGATTGTATGCGCTTGACGTGTCTTTGGTTTAACATGGCTGTTAATATCGGATGATACATTGGTAAAAATGTCCTAATTGAATTTAAGTTATATTTTGAAACTATTCCAAGCAAAAAGACTGTATGAAAACTTACTAGACATTTCTAGGCAACAACTTTGAACTTCCCTTCTGAAATATAACTTGTTATTTCGTTTTCATCTTTCTTTGAAGAAAAACAACCTTAAAATGTTATATTATTGTTTCAGATTCTCACAATTCTCGTTCTTAAAGCAATTTTCGTTCCATTATTATTTATCTCCTGATTTTTGCAGGTTTTTTATTTTATTTGTTTGTTTATCATTTATTATGTTATTTGCTACTTCGCTAAAATCTATATAATATTGATCCCAGTGAGAGCGTCATAATCGCTAAATTTGCTTGTGAAGAACCTGTGTTATCATGATTTTTATTATAAAGCTTATAGTAATTCGCGTTAAACCAGTCTAAGTATTTTTATGTAGACCTTAAAACAATCAGTTCAAAAGACATATTTTGTTCATCAGTCTCAATCTATTAGGGCAGCGAAAAGTATTATTATTTGCCTTTTCGTATAGCGATTTTAAACTGAGCAAAATTGATTAAGCGTTTAGAAGTTAAAGTTAGTCATGAAAAATACCAAAAAAAAAAAAAAACGTACGCATTACTTCAGCTCTTATTTTTTTAACTCCATAAGTTATCGCGGAAAAACTTACATTTTGGTTGATCCATCATGTCACCCTTAAACAAATTATTTGGTTCTGAATTGCTCACACTTCCAAACACTTTCTCTTTGAGCTAAAATATAAAGGAGGATAAACGATAACGAAATAAAATTTAAATAAATTGTAAATGGAAAAATAATAGTGTTGTGATCTATTTATATCCTATTTAAAGGAATATAGACATATTTTTCCACATGAAATTAATATCAGTAAGACCAACTCAACCATATGAAATTCATCACCATAATTTGCTACATGTTTTGAAAACAACATCATATTAAAGTTAAGGAGTTTTCATTATTTACATTTGCCTGTAAATAATTATTATTATGAAAAATGCCTAGATTTTCTAAACTAAATCAATTATTTTATTTTAAAAATATTTCATATTAATTTTTCTTTTACATTCTCTTATTTGCAAAATGTTGGTAAGAAAATTTACCCACTTGCGTCATCCCATCGAACCTATACTTTGCACATAATATCGTAACCGATGACAAATTTTAGCTTACAACACTTTTAAGATCTATAATTAAGATCATTAACACGCAAGGTTTGAAATTCACCCCAAAAAAAGTGATTGATATATTCTTTTAAAAATAACAACTAACTCTCTTTTATGGTTGTATAATAATATATTCATCAGTAAATAAACGGTAACTAGCAAAATCAGCAATTTTCCCCACAAATCAACTATTCGGACTTTTAAAATTACTAAAGTTGATTACAATTAATGTAGACAGTTTTAACTTGACTTTGGAAATTTTGTATGGGCTTTTTAATTTTTTTTAAAGCCAATGTATGTACAAGACTAAGCATGAAGTCGTAAATGGATGGTTGTACGGTTCAAATCACGTCAATTCCTAGATTTTGAAATGGAGTTTAAAACGTATCAACATTCTAAATAAGCAAAGACATGACCAGAACCGAGGGTGTATGGGACTTGTCATCATTGAATGGCAATTTAAACCCGGAGATGGAGTCCTGTTGGCGGCGTGACATTAGTGTAATGACAATTCCTGAATTTCCTGCGACGCTACTGGTGCCCACTTTCTATCATCTACACATGATTTTCCCTTTGGATAAAACGATGCATGGTGTTAGTGTCTTGCTAATAAGTAGACAAGCATTTTTTCTTTAATTAAACAAAAACCCTGGCCTCGTGTTTTCTTTACATGAAGTCTACACAATTGTTACATTGTGACAGTCGTATAAAAAACGTAGCCACCGTATATTGCCTTCCCTAGTATCGCCCATTCCCAGTCGCGTTCGTTTTCTTTTTACTTGTCCTTGTTTCTTTGACGTAGTCAGTGTTTACACAAAGACACATCACGCACATACAGCATCACACAATTTTTCTGCATTAGCTGACGAACCGTCAGTAATTTAGGTTGATGAAAATAAATAGACAAAATATGAGATAATATCCAGCAGTGGCAACATTTTTCTTACACCAGGGAACCGTTTTTTGGTAGAAATCGTTACCTCGGATTTATTGGTTGAATGATTGTGTGTTTGATTTAAAAGCAACCAGTTTATATGCCAGTGCCTGACTGTCATGATGTGGTTGATGACCTCTGATGTAACTTCATCTTTGACAATATCTCTTTGGTTGTTACCTGGTGTTATATAGAAATTTTTTCGTAATCGGTCAATTCAAATATCAGCGCAATTCTTTTATTTTAACTATTTGTCCTCATAATTAAATTTAGAGGAACTAACGGTGTGTGCATTTTTACGAAAATTTTAATTGTTCTTACTGGTGTGAAATTTTAAATTAAGGGAAAATTGTTTACGTTTGCTATTTAAGTGTGTATCTCCTTTACATATTTAAGTAACCGAACAAAGAAGATAACTTTCACAAAAACAAATAATGTTATAAGTTTGATTAGGGTTTCTTTCAGACATTTTTTTTTCTTTTTTTTGGGGGGGGGGGGGGGGGGCGGCTCTTTCAGATTTTCAGGGACAGGGGGCCTTGCAAGTAGCCAGATGCGTAATTTACTGGGAAGATGCCCCTGTGCTCCAGACTAGAGGACACATCATTTTTTTTGTTATTGTATTTAATGGATACAAAATGTATTTTAGAGGTGAGTTTATTGGGGAGGGGTAGCGAAAACATAAATATTGTCCACTGCTAACGAATAATGTAATTACACCTCGGCCTCTGGCGTAGAAAGGGAGGCGAATGAGGTGGCCTGCCACGGTGTTAGTTTGAAATTATATGGTGTGCTATGTGTATGTCTCCGGTGAGCTCTTTTTAATGTAAACTAAAAAACACCAATTTAAAAATATAATATTTGTAAGAGTATATTGAGAATTATGCTAATAATATTTTTTGTGGAAAGAGGCCCAATTTAGAATGTACTATCAATACCTATCGCTCCTTTAAAAAGTAATGCTTAAACAATGAAATATAATTTAAAAACCATTTGCAAATGTTTGATACTTAGAGTGAACTGTATTAACATAATTGACTTATAAAATGATTTAAATAGATTTTGATACTGTCTTATCAAAGTCGTACATTTGTGAATTTGAAAAAAAAAGTATAATAGCGATAAATGCAAACAAAAGGAAGTAAGATTCGGCTAATAATAGTAAGTAGTCAATTTCCGGAAAAGTAAAATATTTATAATCCAATAGTATAAACCTCTAACAAGATTAGCCTTAAGTTAGCCTTAAGTTTACGGATCATCACATACATCGATCTTATCAATATAGCATATATTTCACATAATTTGTAATTGATGAATGGCATTAGAATCTATTGGTAAAAAAAATAATTTTTAAGATAATAATTTAGTCGTTTTTGATAAGATAAATTTCCTTTGTATTGTATTGTTCTACACTTTAGGGTGTGCAAAATTGAAGACCTTAGCGATAAAAGTTAGTTTTAAAAAATAGAAAAACATTTTAAAATAATTAAATTCTACCCTTGACTAGCCACAGACGCACCCACAAGCATCGAGCGTTGTTCATCGGTCGGAAAGAAGGGGGGAGGGGGTTGGATCGAGAATGAGTCGGTATAGTAGAGTTTAAAGAGATTTTACTTTAGGGCAGTTTTGAAAGCTCAGATGGTTGGTTTATTACGGATGTGTAATGGAAGAGAAATCCGTTTTTTAGGGGGCACAGAAAGAGAAAGATCGTTCACCCTATGATTCACTGCGTGTCTTAGGAACAGAAAGATCACGCGTTTCTGAGGAGGAACGAAGCTTTTAAAGGGGGGAGTAGACAGAAAGAAATTCAGTAAGATGAAAAGAGCAGGAACCAGAGAAAATTTTTTGACAGAGAACAGACAGCCTGTGATGAGTGCGTGACTGTAAAGGGAGCCAATGAAGTGAGTGCAGTAGTGGAAAGAGTTTCTTGCCTTTAGAACTAACTTGACATCTTATTTTTTAGTATTGAGAATTTAGTTTTGTAACTGATTTAGTGACATACATGAAGGTTGTGTGATAGATGCATTGTTTTCGTTTCAAATATTTGTTTTTGATTTTTACTAAACGCTGGGATATTCACACACAAAGCTATCACATAATTTGGTATTAGATCTTCCTTTATCAGCCGGTTTACAATGAGTAAAAACGTAAATAACTAGCTATATAATTATCATCTTCGCCTGTCTGCAATCCTGTTACGATCTGAAGCCGGACTTTGAAAAATTTCTTCCATCGTAAATCCGCCCTAATAATCCTTTGTAAAATAACTCCTTTCCCTCCCCTCAAGTTGCCCCGCAGTCGCTCTGCACGAGTGAGTTCCCTTGTGTTATCACATTCCTGCATCAGTTCGCTCACTCCCAGAGCGTGCAATAGGCGTTCAACCAATCCCACCGAAGAACCTTGAGGAAATAAAAACCACCCCCCCCTCCCTCATTTTTGCCCTGGAGACAGCAAGGCGGAGTATCGCCCCCTGTTATTGCATTTCTAAAAAAGAAAACTCACGCCAAAGCGTGAATAAGGATGTTCACCTCAGCCCGATAAACTTTGAGGATAGAAGGTCAAACCCGTAACATCGAAAGTGATTTTCATTGGATGGGAAAACACACCATTTGAGTCACCCAATTGAATCATCATCGAATTGCTCTCCCAACTCGAGTACATAGCCTGAACAAGCAAGAATCTTCCTTTTATGATCATGCTCACTTAACCTGGACTTAGAGCTTTTTTAGCGTGATACATAACTGCAAACTAGGACTTAGTAAGTATACGTCTTTTAAGATCTGATCATTCAATTATGAACGCTTGTAGTAACTGGACAGTACTTCACTGGCGTGATACTTAACTGCAACTGCTAACTAGAGTACTAGTAAGTACGCAACCATGATTTTGACTTTATGGTATTGCCTTTGTATTGTTCATTAGCAAATAGCAAATATTCAATCGTGTTTGATCTTATTCTAATAATGCCTATATTCCATTATATTGATGTTATGAATTCTATTATTGCTTTTGCCGCGGGCTAAGACATGCCGCCATCCTACCATGGGGATGATAGGTTGTTGTTCCAACTCGCCCATGTCTCTTTTAACAAGAAGACAATATGTATACTATGTACCTGTAAATTTAATGATCGATAACGATTTTACGTCCCATACTTCATTAATTAAAATTTTTGCTTGGTCCAACATTGTCGCGATGCAACATATGTTCTCGCCGACAATGACAAGACTGATAATTCTATCCACAAATTTGATGTATATATGTACAAGCTACGTCACCTTCCATACATCGATCTGAATTCATTGCTGTTGGATCGGGACTTATTAGCTTATGGATATTTGCCTGGATACTTATCCATTTTTTGTCTCATTTTGCCCTTTGCCTGATTTCTATTACTGGACCAACTTGCCTCGAAGCTTTAACTAGGGGATTGATCAACATCCTACACCAAACTACCTGACAGCGAGAACTTCGAGATCCAGGGACTCACAAAACCACGATTTAAGCTGGAGAGTCATCTTCCCCATCGCAGAGATCCCATGGAATATACGACCGGGAACTCCTTCTTCGCTACGCTTAGAACAGCTCCGAAGACCAGAACAGGGACACGCTTCTAGGATAGAAGGACTCCCACACTGTGTGATCCACCGAGATCAGCACCGGAATTATTATGGCTAAGTAAAAAAGGATTGAGCATGGAACTTGAGCATTATAGCAGTAATAATGACGATAACGTCTGCTTGTTAGGGACACTTGCTTTGTGTTGATATACCTTTCTAATTAGATGAAATCCATTTGATGTATAAATATTAAGCTCAAAAAGTGTTTTACGGAGGAAGTGTAAATATTATTATGCAATAAATATTTGTAGTTAATTTCTCCTTTAACTAAGACTTCATTTCAGTCTATACTATATGTATATTGTTATGTAGCACACTTTTTCCGTGCTTGAATTTTATTTGACCTAAATTAGATCCTTAGCAGACGTTAGCGGTCTGTTGTGGGCGTGGCCTATTCTTTTGAAGTATCTAGTTTACAACCGTGTTTACCAATTTAACGTGTTAGACTGTCTTCCTGGTGTTTTCTCGAATGGGCTCGATAACTCGAGATATGTAAACAACACGCCATAAGTTGTTCTGGAAGGCAGGGCTTACGCGAACTTTATAAGAGATTGCGAGGCATGGACGGAGAGATAGAGATTCAGATAGGTTTTATTAACTTTACGAGGCGTGTATTATTATTTGTGTATTTGTGTGCTCATACTTATAATTATATGTGTTCATTTCGCATTCATTCTTATTCATTGGCACATTATTCTAACTGTGTTAACTGTGTACCGGTACAAGATCTACCATACTGCAAGTTGAAGATTGTAATTATATTTTCTTTTCTTTTGTAATTATCTTAAGACTTAATAAATCTTATTAATTGTTACTGGCAACTGTTTTGGGTGTCGTATCTTTAATATTGTTGACTCTATGGCATCGTCCTTTGTTAGGCACTGTTTACAACGAGCCAATTAAAATTAAAATAGGGGATTAATTTCTCCCAATATAATTCAGTGCGTACTAATATAGATAGATGTTATGTCTGTGTGGTAATTTGGTTTAAATAACGAATCCCTAGACAGAGTGCCAAGAGGAGATCTCATACGAGAGATACTCTTCACTAAGATATCATAAGTCAGATCACCAGAAATTCTTAACATAAAGTTATCTTGATCTGGGTCAACAAATTGTTTTGGAGGGAAAGAACGTTTATCCGTAATTAACGTTTTGTACTGTAGTATGATATAAAAATTCCTTATTTCTTTACAGACGTGTATCCTTCAATGGCTATCAAGTAAAAATGATTGGGAATGTGCAGATTCTCCAATCCCCGCAGTGAACAATCGAACACTATCAAACAACCCAAAATACAGGTTTTATTTGCGTTACATAATAAATATCGCCAAATGCACATTATCAAGTGCTTGGACGAAAGTTTAGTATCAAAAAGATTGTTGCTTTTGAATTAAAAATGAAGTAAAAAAAAAAAAAAGATGCCAACAGCCGTATAAGATCAATTTTTTCTTTCACTTTTACTTTGTCTTATATATCATTTTATAAAGGGTTGCTAAAGGTGATTAAGAGTTCAAAAGAATACAAGTTTACTAAAAAACATGACAGTAAAATTGATATCTAAAACGACAAACCACACGACCATTCAAAATGAAAAAAGAACCAAACAAAATTTATATTGATAAATTAATATATTTAACATTAAAATTGTATTGACTAAATAAAGTCCCACCATATATTAATGGTATGTTTATAACTGATTAATAAATAATCGTTATTTATATTTCTTTGCTTAATATGCCAGATATGTAAAGTATGTTCATTATGTTTTCGCAAATTAATTTGTTAATTAACACAAGCTATTTACTACAAATAAAAAAAAAAAAAATTATGCTTTTATATCCGCTATCTAATCATGCATTATGATTATAGTTAGAAACACTTGAAAACAATAAACATTGTCGATTGTGAGCGTTCATTAGTAATTGTTGCGACTCAATAGTATGTTCATTAGTTGTTGAACGCTTTTCCCGAAGTTGACTATTATAGTTAGTGAACGCTCTTCCCGCCATTTTCTCTATGACGTATTTTTATGCTGATTCGTGACGTATTGTCTATGCAGTATTGTGACGTATGTTTTAGTCGTGCGGCAGTCTTGAGTGGAACTTTGGAGTGATGGGATGTTTATTATTTAGGTCTGATTGCGAGCTGCGCTATATTCAAGTGTATGTGTATTATATTTACATAGACATTAAAGTTATAGTTATTATGAAAAAGGAGTTGAGTTTGTTCAATGATAGTAGGAATAGTACCACGCTTCAACGTATAAAAAGAACTGACGAATGTAATCAATCCAAGAAGACTATAAGAGTTGACAAACATGTGAACGGAAAATGAATTTTCAAGCTATAAGAACTAGTCTTACCTTTTTATTGCTCAAGTATAATTCAGTGTATGACTTGGCACTTAAAACCAAAATGAAAAAAGAATAATTATAAAGCGAAATATAAAAAAAAACACAGGTTTGTTTAGTTCAATAATACATTTAGGCAGCTGTTAAAAATAAAATTTAGGTAATCAAATAAATATATTCAGAAAAGTTTGTATGTAGATATCGAAAATATATTACAAAGTTTAAAACAAAAAATATCCCAAACAAATAGTTTCTCTAGGCTTCAAATTTTGCTCGTTATTTTGATATGCCTTGAAAATAACAACACCAAACAAACAAACATACAAACTAAAGAGCCTCTACATTTTCAAAAATAAAATCCTTTATAAAATGTAATATTGAGCACTGTGGTTAAGGGCTACAATTTTGAGAAATGCACAAAAGTAAAGCATTTTATGAAAATTCCCAAATAGCACGACCCCCCCCCCGCCCCCCCCCCCCCCCCCCAAGCTCGCTGTCGTACATCTTTTTAATGCTCCAGAGCTATATTACTATTATAAGGACTCATCATTACAACGCATTTTGATTTCAGCAAAATTTTCAGAAAAAACAGATGATAATAGTACACACTAAATCACTAGTGATATTTTTTTTTTATTCGTCTCATTTAGCACGGTTATTGGGATTTTTATTTCATGAAACTAGTGTCATCATATTTCCTTCATCTGTCCCTTCAAAAACAGGAAAGACAGATTTTCGGGAGTTTGTTTGAGCCTGGAAATTTTAAAAAAATGTCTTACATCGAAAAGAATTCTTTTTGAAAGTATTTTAACAGGATATAAGAACAATTAGTAAATTAGCCATATGAATTTTAGCCTAACAGACACAAACAAAAGCAAAGTTAATGTATTGTATTTAAAAAAATCAAGCCAAAACAAAGTTTTATGTATAAATACTTTATAAAATATCTTATCGAGTAATTGTGTGGGTATGAAAATTCGAAAAACATGTATACAAGTATTACACTTAATAAGAATCTCTAAGAGTTATGTCCCCCCAGTGCTCGGAACCACAAATTTAAGCATAAAGCATTTTATGTCTCATTTGGAAGTATAGTCAAATTGGTTTATTAAAAAAAAAATAATAAAAAGAAGACAAATGTAAATGAATACATGGTAAAAAGTGTACGATTATACTTACAATAGCACCAAAGCGAAGAAAATTCCACATATTAAAGTATTACTGACGATAATCATTAAATACGATTTAGTGGTGCCTGAATTATTAACATCAGGATTTGTACTTCCGGATTGTTCTGTTGATGGATTTGGATCTGTGGATAACACACATTTTGATTATGTAGAGATACATATACATTTAGTAGAATATTTAGAATAAGAAAAGGGTAATAAAAATTTATAACTTTACATGTGTATTGCGTTACTTAATTAGAAAATTGTGTTAAAGTATTTTTTATTGCTAAATTTAAATTAATTTTAAAATATGAACTTGAGCATGTAGAATATTGCAATTTAAACATTTAAAAAAAAAATAGAATTTCATTCTGAAGATTGTGTACATTTTTATACAAGCCACATATAAATGTGATTTGAAATTTATATATACAATATTACAAGTAAATATATATATAAATATAATGGAGGTCCAAAAAAAAATAAAAGATTCAATTATTTCTGTTATTTTCAAGTCTTTGATCTGCAAATTTTTTTCAATTATAACCCAATTTTGACTTGTTTTCCCAATACAGCACATAAAAGGTATTGACCAAAAAACAAATTTACCTAAGGATTATTCATTTTATATGTAAATTTGGGGTAATTTATGTATTCCAATGTGTAATAATTAAAGATGTTCAGAAGATGCTGGTTTCAAATAAATTGTTTAGACAACTTAATTGAAAATCCCTTATTTATTTCGTTAACAGTTTATTTCCTTTCCATAATTTATGGATAATAACTAGAAAAGATGTACGTTTCACTTTCAAACACTTATTAGGTTGTTTAATATTTAACCCTAACAGGTGGTACATGTACAAATTTACTTTTATATATGTCGATAAAAATATTAAAATAATTATATATTCTGTAGGATGTCCAGTGTACATACATAAATTAAGTAACGTTTTTTTTTAAAATAGTACATTTAGGGGTTTCTTTGCTGAATGATGATGATCAAAATCGTCGATTCTCAGAATAATAACTGTTTTGCTCTTATTTCCATTGCTATAATGCGTATGATATTGTATTTATATTTTGTATAGAATTTAGGGAATACAAAATAATGACACAAGAAGTAAACTAATAATTTCTTGTTGCTTTTTCAAAAGCATACACTTCACATGGGGTAGAGTCTTCTAAAAGTATTCGGAACACCCTATTGCTCCTCCGGAAAAAAAAGAAAGTGTTTATTTCTTAGAAAAAATATGGGGACGCTGTTCCAATGTGTTTCTAAATAACTGGAGCCATGTTGTTTGCAAAACGTTAAGAGAAATTGAAGGTATGATTTACAACGAAACCAAAATACTTCTATTATGACTGCAATACGAATACACTGTTTTTAGGGCTTTAAGAATCTTTAATGAAATATAAAAAAATTAAAAAAAAAAAAAAAAAAAAAAAAAAAAAAAAAAAAAAAAAAAAAAATTATGGATTTTTTTTAAAAATCGAATCTGGCCATAAATACAGCAGATCAGGTGCTCTTAACCTTTTATTTCACTTCCAGTCCACTCTTAAAATAAAAACAAATAAATGTTACCCTCAACTGTATTTTAAAGTATTTTCCCTGCATCCAAGTTCAAGCAATAATAAGGCAATTTAAATAATATTATTTAACAGATCTTTTTGCCCTATTGACAATGCGTTCCGCACACCAAGAAGGTGCGGTAACTATTAGTTAAGAACACTTGCAGTAGATTGTAGATGTGTAAAAAAAAGTAATAATTCTGATCATGTGTGTGTCGAGGTGGGGGCTATTTTCTCTGTTACCTAACAGTTTCATGAAAATGTAGCTTCAATGAAGATAGCGTATACAATAAATTGTACTCTAACTTTATAGCCCAACACTGACTGATGTAAATATTTACGGAAAATTTTTTTTTTGTTTGCAAAAATTAGTCGTTTAAAAAAATAATCGCCTTGATAAATTCGAGTTCTTTTGGTATTTGCCGTCGTTGATTCTGTAATATGTATATTTTTTTTTTCATTGCGTGCTCCTGACATGCGCATCGAAATCGATTTAATAAATGAAATAAAACAGATGCTTACACATAAACGACGTTTCATATGGTCTGCTATCGATAAATTGGTGTTCTATTGTACAATTTTCAAAAAGTGACCTAAATATTGTAGATATAAGGAATGCCCGTTCGAAGTGTTATCTGGAGTATTAATTTTCATGTCAATTATATTAAGGAAAATTGTACTTTTAAGGTTGCAAACTAATCGCGACCCAAAATGTTGGAAAACGTTCTAATTTTATCCTAAAATATAACGATATCACGAAATTAAGGTGTCTATTTTATTATATATATAATAAATTAATATTTGTATGTATGTATATATCCCGTATGCGTTCTTATACCGGCATACATCCGATTGCGATAAAACGTAGGTCCCAACGCCGCGATTTAAAAAAAAAATTCGTACAACCATTTTACAATATACATTTTTTTGGCCGGGACCCTCAATTCGTATTTTTTTAAAATGAGCTATAAAGAGATAATTTCAAACAGAACAATTGCATGGGTGGATCAATCGCAAAAAGTGTGTTGACGAAAATTTGAAAATCCATTATTCTCAAATAAACAACATTATTTATTCCTGATAACCCTTAGAAAATTTAAAATTTATTGGTGGACGCACAATACTGAAAAAAACAAACATACTGTCTATAATATAAGTACTTCAAAAACATAAATAAAGAAAACTATTGTGTTTTAATTGAATGGTATTGCAACGAATGCCGGGTATTCACTAGTGTTACATTAAAAGAAATAATTAAAATGCAATATTAAAATTGTACCTAGGCTGCAAAGCAAATGTTTATTGTAAAAGGAAATATTTTAAATACGGACAGGTTCCTAAGCACGATAATCTTAACAGAGTCCTTAAAAGCAATGTCAAATTATGAGTCCATAACATTGTTTCAGGATGCTCATATTTATGTCCTCCTGTTTAATAGTGTCGAAGAATTATTTACCAAAATATACATTGTTAAGTTTTGTAATCATTCATGTTTTCTTCTATTATGTATGCACATTTATTTATAATGTCAATCCTTTAATATTAAATCAAATAAAATGTATTGATTTAACCACCTCGCTTTATTCTTCTTCTTCTATATCTTAAGGGCCCACGATCAATTTATTGATCATTTTGGCTCCTATGCACATAGATGGGATTTGCAATGTTTCTGTTACTGGTGTTAATGAGGAAATCATGCACTAGGGGTTTGAAGGCTTGAGGCAATAGACACAAATGTGTCTAGTGTTGTCGCCTCAACTGTTCATTTTGAAAGATTGTTCCAGTCCCTGATTGTCGTGGGCAGGAATGAGCAGCTCCTATACTGGCTTCTTGCTGGTGTGAGCCTGAATTTCCTGTCACGGCCTTGTCGCTGTCTATGGGGGAGAGGGACGAGTTTCTGTTTAATACCGAAACAGTGGACCAGCCCATTATTTATCTTGTACATCATCGAGAGCCTAGATTGTCGTCGTCGTTTCTCCAATGGTGACCAGCCTAGTGTTTCTAGCATGCTGCCAACACTAGAGGTATTCCTGTAGCGGTTTAGGACAAAGCGTGCTGATCGTCGCTGGCCGGCCTCCAATCTTTCAATGCTCATCTGGGTAAATGGGTCCCAGACTGAAGATGCATAATCTAAAAACGGACGGATAAAGTCTTTATATGCTCTTTCTTTCACACAGGAGTTGCCAATCTTTAGATTTCGCCTTAAGAACCCTAGGGTCTTGTTTGCTTGGTTACATACATTGTTAATATGCTCGTCTTAGCGGACCTTTCTTTGAATTGGTAACGCCAAGGTACTTTACGGAGGATCCTTGCTCAAGTATATGGCCGTGCAGTTCGTATTGGTAGTTTAGAGGAGTACAACTTCTAGAGATTGATATTGTCTTGCACTTGGCAGGGTGAAATCCCATGCCCTAGCTCATTTCCCACTCAGCTAACAGATTGAGATCCTGTTGTAGCTGGTCCTGGTCAGATCTGTTGGCGATCGTCTTATACACTGCTGTGTTATCTGCGAACAGTCTTGCCTGTGATGTCAGTTTCTCGGGTACGTCATTAATGTATGCTAGGAACAAACAGGGCCCAGGATGTCTCCTTGGGGACCCCTGACTTCACATCGACAAAGGAGAAGCTTGTACCGCCAACCACTACAGCTTGGCGTCGGTGGCTGAGGAAGCTAGAGGTCCATGTTTTAGTGGTGCCTTGAATCCCATATCTCTTGAGTTTGTGTAGAAGCAAACTATGATTCACACGGTCAAATGCTTTTGCGAAAAACATAATATATTTCCTCTGATTATGGAAATACTTTTGAGTTGTACATTAAAGCATTAAAGCATTTGCAAATAGTAGGCTTGTATATTGGTTCGCTAAATTTTTTGGGTGTATTTCAAAAAAATAATTTGGTTTCATATGAATTTTCTTGTCCCTGTTTCAATTTAGATACGTATCCAATCGTAGTAAAATAACTACTATGAAATGAATGCTTTTAAAATGATTTCTGAGCTTTTAATAATGTGTTAATTAAAAAACAATACTCTCAATGCATTATTAAAGATATCTAAGCTAATAACTTAACTGTTTTTAATATACATCCAAAGGTAAGTGCATTTTTATCTAGTCTGCATGCACCACGTTTTATGGTGATAGATATATATTTGCTCTTGTAGAGCCTTGTACTGAATATAGCAAAATTATTTCCTTGTACGGCTTCGATAGAATCATTTCTTGAGATCTCAATCAAACATGGAGCTACTTGACTTTTACACGCATAAATAATTTTCACATCGGTGACATTGAAACTGATGACACAGCCACTCTTAGTGGATATTTCTTTCCCATTGGCATACAAAGAACATTTTAAATCTGAAACATCTAAAGAAATGATAAAGTTATTTATGAGCTGTTTTATATTTGTTATTGATAATGTTGAATGAAAATGGTATTGAAAACAACAAATCTTTGTATTTTAACCGACCGATTACACAAAACGGTGAGTTTTGGTTTCGAGTTGCACCACAATGTGTAAACAGGCTTGATATTTCGGTGAGCAAAACTGGCTGCGAACAAGACGAAAAATGAATTTGTCGTTTATCGCTATGTAACAGTTACGCATGATCCCCCTTGGTATGTTTATATTAATCCAACGTCATCCAACGCTAAAAGAATGGTATTTAGGGTATCCATATTCAACCCTTTTTTTGAGAGTCAGGACATATATAAGAATGGGTATTTTGAGAAATGAAATGCCAGGCAATAGATGGATACAATGATAAGACGATTGTCTCAAATAACAGCGGAGGTGTGTTTTATTATATTGTACATATGTTTATTCAATTTATTAGCGGAACCACCCCCCCCCCCACGAAAAAAATATATAATTTAACATATTTCATTATTAATGCAATGGCATACGTATTTTGTTTCAATGTTTTTCTAATTTGATGGATTTCTTTACTTCTCANCAAAAAAAAAAAAAAAATATACAATATATATATATATATATATATATATATATATATATATATATATATATATATATATATATTATGTATTTGTTATTTCAAAGCGTACGTTTTAGAATTTAGTACAAAGAGCATGTTGAAAACCTGAATCTGGAAAGGGGACATTTTAGAAGCTCTGGCATTGCCCTACACAATATACTTCACATGCGCTTTGAACACACGATGGACTAAATATTACTGAAATACTCTAGTACTAAGTACCATCTGAGCATATATAGCGTGTGTATTTGTGAAAACAAATGGTAACATTTTGACTACAAGGCCTACTAAACATTGAGTAAACATATGCACTATTTCGACTTTCAGAGTTTTAGGATAAATGTTGTTGAATTTGTTCATAACATACTTTTGTTCTGCCAAGAACCCCGACCGCAAAACGCTCGTTTACAAAAAATCTCCGAATTGAAATCCCCGGACGTATTATGTGGATGGCTTAGTTGTAGTTGGGATAAATCGTATACTTTTTTTTATTTTATTTTTTTAAAATTAATTTATTTCATCACTCAATCGTTTAATTTTATTTTTTTTTTTTTTTTTTTTTAAAATTAATTTATTTCAACACTCAATCGTTTAATTTTACAAAAAAAAAAAAAAAAAAAAAATGCAGCGGTTAATTAATATTACAAAATAAAATTGTGTTTTAATAAGCCAATTGAATTGATACAAACACCCACTGCAGTAGGTAATCCATAAAATTAGTAGGCTCAACCTTTTTCAACACATATTTTATAACTGTGTTTTCGGAAATTAAAACGATAGAGCAGCTTTGACAATACTATCTCCACTGGTGTAAATGAACTGGAAGCAATTTTAAGGGACTAACATATCTTTGAGTTAAAGAAGAAACAATGTTACAAATTTTCAGGTACTAAAGGTAGATTATCTACAATAGTAATTATAGATACACACAATTACTTTTACAAATGAAAAACAAAATGTGTACCCTATTTAGAGAAACATATTTAAACATATACAATTTTTTTAACTTTAAGTTTGCAGCTGTGGTTCAACAAAATTAAATAAAAAAGAGATTATAAGTACCATATATAAGAGGAAAATAATGGTGTTCACTCTCAATTTCCCTTGAGTTGTTTGTATATAGCTTTCCATATATCCTTGCACCACTGTGTTCCTTCGTAACAATAACTCTTGTTGTAATTTCTACCAAATGGGAATGAGTGTGTTTGCAATCAGTCCCAATTTTATTGCAGTCATTTTGTAAATTGTATGCTTTTGTCTGAAATGATTATTTATTATTTTAATTAATATCAAATTATATAACTTTGTAATATTAAATAATTATATCTGTGTTAAAAATGTCTAAGTTTGAATAAAAATATTCTAAAATGAAGCCTACCATTATTACAACCAATATGTATGTAAACTACTTAGCATTTACTCGTAAATAGTTTACAATATCTAATTATTTAGATGGCTAAAAGCATATTCGGGTTGAAAATTCTTCTCATTGTTTTATTACATACGTTTAAATACTACTGCTGCTACGAATAATAATAATAATAATAATAACAGATCTATATCATTAAATGTTATTTGAATAAATCAGCATATTCAAAATTACGTAAATGACAATAAGAAAAGTGGGCACGTCTTATAAAGGAAATAAAAAAGAACGCTTTTGTTGACGTCGAGAAACAGAGTGAGTTTGGATCTGAGATGATCATGAATTGAAGAATCATTTGATGAATGTTTTGAAAAGTAAATCCTATCGCTGTTAGTGCCTTTAAGAAGAGCCAGAAATGATGTTGTGTAACAATGTCTTTTATGTGGGAATTTATATTATAATATTATTGTGAGTGATTGTTTAGATACAATGAGTGGCTTGTTGGGTGGTAAAGTCCTAAGGCATTCTTCTGGACATTGTGGGTAAGAGAATGGATGATTGTTTGATGAAATTTTGTCTATTTGAGGATCCTTATTATTTAATCCCCATACCTACATTTAAATTAAATAGAGATACCAAATATTAGATTTTTGCTAAACATTCCTTAAATAATTTGAATAATAAAGCAATTAATGTTATTTTCCCTAAAAGGAACATTTAAAGTGGAGGAGCAGGATTATCGATGATAAACCTTTTATAACTGTTGAGGTTAAACTTTGGTGTAAAATGGATGTGCGTCTATTGTGTGTTGAGATGTTTGTTTTGAATGTATAGTGTGATCCTACATTAAGATACATTAGACACAAAAAATGTGTGTAAATAAAACAATGGCAAAACTGCAACTAGCAGTCCTTAAAGCAGTGATAAAGCTGTAGCTGTTTTATATTATGAATAAATAGAATTTAAGAAAAGCATTCAATAAGCATACAATATATATTTCAAAATTATTTGATTTTTTTTCATGCAACACTTCTAGTAAATATGGATGCCAAATGTTTAACAAATAGAAACAACAATAAATTATGAAATGTAACTGATTAGATTCTAAAAACATTGTCGTAGAAAAGGTGAGGGTAGTGGTGTCAAATTTGCAGGAAACCCTTTTATGTGTGCTGTCCGTGTGTTCAAAATGTCTTTTCGAGAACAAAAAGATAATTATTAAAAAAAAAATAAAAAATTCATGCATCAATTAGCGGCAGCGAAGTTTGGGGATATTCAAAAAAGAATGAAATGAAGTTAGATTCAGTTATGACATTTTTTTAATTCATGCAATACTCAATCCAGTTTATGCAGCTACTTACAATGTCAGGGATTTTAATAAATCATAATCTACTAATATTTTCTGCTTTGTTAACTCTTAAAATTTAAAGTAAATGAATAAAGTTCATGAAAACATTTTTTTTAAGATGCCCGTTTGAAATTTATTCATTTCAATCTTCTCAAAAATTTAATCTCATAGTTTCATATTTAAAGACATTAAGGAAACTTTCTTTTAAATAATTATAGCCTTATCAAAGCTTATAAACGGTGATTGGTTAATATGATTTATATTTTGCTTATGTTAGTGTTTTAGGATGAGCAACAATACTGACCGACAAGGTCCCGCTGGTTGGTGTACACCTGTCTGCATAGTTACTTAAGTGAAGTTGCAGAAGGGGGGTTTCTTAGCAAGGGCGTTCTAATAGCGTGCGACTTCACAGCCATATAATAAAGGTTAACCAGGAATAAGGGGTAATGGTGTGAAGGAATTTTATTCTGAAATTTTCCTGTTATTATAACTCCTACAGTTTAGTACCATCTCAGAATGACATGCTAATTAAATTCCATCGTGTTGTCTTTTAGTGGACCATTTTTTATTTTTATATTAAAGATTTAGATAAAATACCATTATTAACACTTATTTGTTATATATCATTATTAAAGGGATTTTTAACACATATATGACTTACAGTTGTTGACGTATCTGTTTTACTTCTAATATAAATGAGTAGGTATGCCATTGTTAGATCCTCTGTATATTTAACCTCAGTTTTAAAGACAACTGTATCCCCACTGACCACACCGTGCGTACATTTAGTCTCACTATCTTCTTGTCTGTACTTATGGAGGTGCAACCTTTGTCCATATAAAAGTTCTGTGAAAATAAATTATAACAAACATTATATAATGTAATCAAATAATTTTGACAGGTAAATTTTTCCGATGTATTTAATTGTAGGACTTTAAAGCAAGTGTAGTATATTCAGGGTATATATACTAGAGAAGATTAAGATATCTCAACAAATGTGTATAAACTTAAAATGCATAAATTTAACTGATAGACAAACTTACCACATATTTGAATTGTTGGCAAAGTAAATGTAAACATTCAAAACATTGCTTTTGTTTTTCTAGTTTAAGTTAGGGCTAACATTAAAGAAAATTAGACTTGATCTCTCGGAAAAGATGTGTTTTGGGATTGTGGGCAGAAATTCGGTGTAGATTAGTCAAACAATAAAAAGAAACTCTGATCCAGAATTATCAAATTAAGTGTTGCAATAGAGAATCTTAAAGAAAAATGTGAAAGAGATTGCGAGAGAGAATGAGATTGAAATAGAGATAGTTTAAGTCAAAGAGACAAAGATGGATAGAGAGAGAGAGAGAGATAAAGAAATATGTTGAAAATAAAAAAGAGAGGGAATGAGACAAAGTGAGAGAGAAAAAGATATATAGAGAAAGAGAGGAAGAACGAGTTTGATAGTTTGATAATGATAAAAAATGTTCAGTCCTGTAATAAAAAAAAAAAGAGAAAGAGAGTAGGGAAGAGAGCGTGCAAGATAGAACCTGAAAAAGAAGTATATTTAGAGTAACCGTGCCAGGTGATGAAGTCAACCCAAGGCTTTTTTTCACTTAATCATTAACCTAGTCAATATGTCGAGAACAATTTGTGTAATAAACGCTTACAGATTATATCTTTTATAATTCTTGTTTATAAATATATATACATATCTATATAGTGCATTTTGTAAATTAAATTTAGAATATGTATGATATTGTCCAAATGTTTGAGTCAAGTATATGCAACTGACTGATAATCTTAAATGTAAAAAATAATTTTAAAAGGTTGTATAATACGGTACTTTTAAGCACAAATATATATTATATATATATATTATATTCACTTACCAATGAAAAGCCAAATAAAGAGCACCTTTGTCAGCAATTTTGACAATTTCATAATGTCGAAATCTTGGACTACTTGTGATTCGTTTGGAAGAAATCAGATAACGTTTTAGTATTATTTATATTTAATTATTATCGAATATATTATGACTTTTAAATGCATTATTATTTGAATGTTTAGGCTATATAAGGTTTAAATTTTTATAAATATAATCCAGTACTATTTTGCTTTACATTGTTTCCTTTTTCGTTACTGGTTTTCTGAAATATATATTTAAATACCTATTTGCATCGAATAATTTAGCGCAGTAGAAAAACACAACAATATTAACTGTCTATATTTCTTTAAGATGGGTAATTGCATTATGTTTATTTGAAATTTCAAATATAAAAACTTGAAATAAATTTATAGAAATAAAAATTCAACCTTGTTTAGACCAACTTCGTCACTCGCTCTCCACCGTACCCCCCGTGACAGGCATAGTTATATTTGCCCTTCCAATAACAACAATGAATCAATGAACAATGAAAATTAACCTTGACCATGACCCAGCTTAAACAATGCGTATCTGGTTGGTGCATCAGAAGTGACGCTTGAATGCTTGGTAGGATGCAAAACTTAGAGTATTTATTTATTTAGGCATTTTTATATAGCGCTTACCTTAAAGCTCTAAGCGCTTTACAATATTAAAAACATGTAAACTAACTAAAATAAACATGAGACATTAGGATAGTAACTACTATACTATATAAACAATTAAAAAGGCTATAAAACGAGGACACTTTAGAACGTTTTGGCCTATATTACAGGATTAACCCGAGACAGAAAATGAGGCAGGACAAGGAGGGTGCATCACAGGTCATAGGCTGACCTAAACAGATGCGTTTTAAGGGACTTTTTAAAAGTGGACGAGGTTTCACAATGACGGATATGGAAGGGAAGCTAGTTCCAGAACGTGGGCCCATGGAAGTAGAAGGAACGTTCACCGATGGTCTTAGTTTTGGTTCTTGGTATTGAGAGGGTTCTATTGTCAATGGAAGAGCGTAGTTGTCTTGTGGGGATGTAAGGAAGCAACAATTCAGAGAGATAGACAGGAACGTGAGGGTCAGTGAACGAGTTGAAGCATAGATTGGCAGACTTGTACTTGATGCGAGAGGATATTGGAAGCCAGTGGAGTTGCCGCATGTGTGGTATACATTAAGAGTATATATTAAGGGGCCTAGCATTCATCGCCCCCTTTCACCTGAAGTTTGTCAGTTAGCAGAACCTGGCTAGTTATTGTATTGTGGTAAAGTTTGTTGATACGTAAATTAACTAGGTTCGTATTGTTAGTTTTCATTGGTTTGTAGTTTTATTAAGAACTGTTAGGATTATAGTTACAATTACATTATGATTCGTTATTAATAATGTGGTATCATTTTAATAATTAGTTAGATCTATGTCTTACGCGTTGAATTCGTTATTCTATTTTTTAGAAAGTTAGTTGGAAGCAAGGACAGTCAGCACATTTAGTAACAGTTAGTACAGCAGTACCATGAGATTATTTAAAGTCAGTACAGCTGAGTTGAGTACAATTCAGTTGTAGATCTTAGTATAGACGATAATATAGTATACTTTAGAGTATTATTATTATTATTATTATTATTGTTTGTCCGTCGAAGATCGATAGTTACCATCGAGTTGTCCGGTAACTGATGACTAGCGCGGGTGACTTTTGTTTAAAGTGAGGAAGAGTTGCGCGGCGTCAACTTCACTCACTCGTCGGTTTCACCATATCCAGTGGAAAGACTCTACGTCAAGACGAAACGTATGGGTACGGTTGCAGGAATTGTCATTGTATGCGCCCTACCAGACTGAATTCAGAGTTTCCTTCTCATAGATGAGTTGACGACCAAGGTTAACGAGTCTGATCCACCCGGGGTGATGTTTATGCTTTAATGGCCTTTGGCTGGAAAAGAACTCCAGACCACCATCTTAAATTTTGCTCAGTTTAGACCATTCGGCAAGCCAGTCCCCAAAACCATAGACTATAGACGATTCAGCGCAGTTGAGTCAGTTGGTGGAATCGGTACTTTAGGTTCAGACTAATCAGAAAGAACCAAGTTTAGGTTAGGCCTATTAGAAAAACAGAGACGGAGCGATGACCAGGTAACAAGCGAGAGGGCTATGTGTGTATTTGTGCCCACCGTTAAAGTGTTAGAGTCTACACCTATTACGTCTCCGTGACTAGAAAATAGGTCTTACCAAAATGGCTAATGCGTGTGTGTTTGTGTGTGTGTGTGCGTGTGTTGTGGACCTTACCTACCTACAGAGGACAGACAGCCAAACGCAATTTAGTCAATCGAACATTGTATTAAATATTAGACAGTATAATTAGTCATTGCTCTGTATGTGTATGGGTGTCGTTAATTCTGTTTATAATTAAATATTTATTTGGGAGCTGATCCTTATGAGTTTCTTGGTATAATGATGACGAGTGAGAGTGTCATCGAAGGATAGAGTGAGTGTGGAGTAAGATAAAATTAAAGTACTTAATAAGGAATTATTATCATACCCTAGTGATAGCCCTAGCGGCCGTAATAATCTAACATGAAATAAAACATGGGACTTATATATAAGTCCCAAAAGTAACATTTGGGGGCTGCATAAAAAATGAAAAATCTAAACAACAGTTTTAGATAAAAGGTTTTAAACCAACTGCCCGTGCAATGGAATTGGTGCCGGATTTAATTAAATTATCAATTATTACTTTTTTAAAATATTGAAAGCCTCTAATATTGTTAAATACAATATGTTTTTATTTTAATCATCTACTGCCATTTGCGATCACGGAAGTGCCCTGAATTTCCCATCAGCACCTTCTTTCTTAGTTTGGTTTTGAATTGTCCCGTGTGATGCTCGTTCAGGGGGGCTTTCAGCTAAATTATCAAATATTCCAATGCTAGAACTAATTTACTCCATCTATCAATATAATGATGCTCTTAAAAAGAAAGAAAGAAAGAAAGAAATCCTTAAGTTTAATTAAAAAGTTACGAGCGCTCAAATTTCAGAATTTCTTTACCAGTTTATGGTGAACAATATTCTCGACAAGCAAGTTTAAATACAGACATAATCGGACCGATTAGTTTAGAATTGGTTAAAATTAATAATGAAAATAATTAGATAATCTTATAGTTGGGGTAATAAGGGGAGAGACTGCAATCAGGTTAGTACAAAATAAAATGAGTAAAACAGAGTAGGGTTAAACCTGATAAGATAAACGCAACAAAACAGCGAACGTGTCGGCAGCAAGCCTTCGTCAGCGAACAAAACAACAGAAAAAACGTTATAAAAATAAGAAATAGCACTTAGCTGGTAAGTAGTATCTGTGGGCAGCAATACTTTCTCTATGTCAACTTTTATAATTGAAATATAATTGAATGTTTGTAGTCTATCGTGAGATTATATAATTTAGAAACCTGACATAAGTTCGCAGCTGTTTTAACTGATCATCGTTTACAGACTGTTAATCAACAATGTAGTGTTTGATTAATTAAAACCATTGCCTTATTGGAAATTCCAGACAACCCCGATTAGGGTTATGCTGGGATTTGCACACACGTTACTTAAAAAACCTGAGTCACATTAAGTAAAAAATATCGATCAAGTGTATGGTTACATGACGTTACGCAAACATACACAATGCATTCAAAATTCCCAAAGTAATTTAAATAATATTTCTTTCCTTCTTCTTTTTCTATATATTAAGGCCCATTATCAATTTATTGATCATTTAGGCTCCTATGCATGTAGAGCGGATGACAATTTTTCTAAGCCTGGTGTTGATGAGTATATTTCACTGATTTCAAGTACTACTTTGTGAGGAAATCATGTCCTGGGGTAAGAAAGCTTGAGGCAATAGACGCAAATGTGTCAAATGTGGCGCATCAACTGTTCCTTTCGAAAGCTTGTTCCAGTCCATTATTGTTTATCACACTTTAACTACTTTTGAAAAAAAACATGTAATATTCAATATTTTCTTGGTCATTTTTACACATATCGTCCTATATACGATTTTTTGTTTATAAAACTAGCAATTATGAAATAACAAAGTAAAATGTCAAAATGTCGCGGCAGTAAATGCATGGCTGAGTAATAGTCTCCTCTAGTTAAAATGAATATTCACGGAATATTGCTAGCAATGGTTAATGATGACATTTGAAAAAAAAAAAAGTTCGAAAAATAAATAAATTATTTTCCAAATTTAGCAGATACTATTATTTAAGGTGTTCTTATATAACGCACTTAATTATTATGAATATTGTTTCTTACATATTTCTAATAATTGAGATCTATAAATGCTGTCATCGTGTTTTAAGCACTTGCACAATAATCAAAGCAACATTCATTAGAGGTAATAAAGAATATTTTTGAAAAAAACATCTTATATAGTATGTTTTGCCGGTTGAATATATATCACACGATATTAAGTTATTGCTTACGAACCTGGCTAGAACACTAATTTTGTACTATTGTTATGTTTTTATTGTGTGTTTTTTAAAATATAGCTATTGTTACGATCCAACATGTAAAGTAGATTTTTAATTTTACAATATCCCATTTTGCGAACCTGATTGAAATTATTTCGTTGAATAAGAATCTTTGCGGCATTTTAAAAAAAAATAGATAAAGCAAACCTTTCCTTGACTGTTTTGTAATTGTTTTGTTGTTGTTGACTAAATGTTTATTATTTTTTTTTTACTGTAAACTAAATATATGCACTTAACATGCACTAATAGTAAATATTATTATCCTTTTAATTAAGTTATCTATAAAATAAAGGGCTTTTTTTATCACATTTACTTTAAAAGAATGATTATGTCTACTATTTTACATAATGAAAATTGGAATTTTAGTTTTTTCGTTTCTTTACTAAAAACAGTAAACTTGATGTTCTCACCAAGCAAATAACAGTAAAGATATGTCAATATCATATATGCCCTCTACAATCATATCGATGAATGAAAAAAATGTAAACTTGGTTTACTTATTTCTGTTTATTCAATTAAATACCCCCAAAAGAGTGCTCGCTATCATAGCATTTTTTACACCAAAAAATGCAAATCGCAAACAAACTTCAATGGGCCAAAGTTTAATGCATTTTCAGTCAGCTGAGGAGTAAAGCAAAGCTGCGTACTTGAAATAACGATCTCAACATTTTGACTCTAGTTTCTCTATATCATAATTCTATCATTAAAAGAGGACTATTATGATCGCAAAAGTAACATTTGCTATTGCTTTATAGAGCAAGCTGGTGCAGAGAAAAAACAAATTTAAAGCTCAAAACTAGTCGCAAAGCATGCGTGCATGTTTAATACCATACTTCATATCATGGAGGCATGGCAAAAATAGGTCTGCAAAAAGTGGAAAGTTAAAATATTTTATATTAGTTGCTGGTGTTAAACCTTGTCAATTTGATGACAAGAAAATGTGTTAAATGCAGCGATTTCAATACGTGCGAAGAAAAATCAATATGCATTTATCTTCAGTGACTTGTAATGTGCTTAAGCCGCATTAGATGTCGCTGTGAATGCGTCGCTGTATTATATATATATATATACATTTTTTATATACACACATATATATATATACACACACATATATATATAGCTTATTTATTACAAAACTTTCTCTTCTTTCTCACTGCCTCTTTTTACATAAAATGTAGCTAATATGATTGTATCGCGCTGGTGTGCATTTGAAAGCACACTAATATCTATTTTAGTAAGCATTGAATTAAGATAACCCAATCACAAGTATACGTATACATAGTCAACCCAAATTATATTACGTGTCCAGATAAAATCAAAATAAAATGAGTAGAACAGAGTAGAGTTAAACCTGAAAAAATAAACGCAACAAAACAGCGAATATGTTGGCAGAAAGCCTTCGTCAGCGAACAAAACAACATAAAAAACGGTATAAATATAAGAAATAGCACTTAGCTGGAAAGTAGTATCTGTGGGCAGGAATAGAAGTGTGGCAGAAGGTAAATGAGTGAGAGTTTAAATAAGCAGCGGCGAAAAAAAAGGGGGGAGAAAAATGTTCACTGTGATAGGTCAGAACGTGGAGGGGTGGAGCTAGGGTCAAGCTGTGAACAGAGACATAACATTAATCCCATGTGGCGTCAAAGTGCCGTAAGTCAGGATAAGTCTGTGTTCCAAATTGACCCGGCTGGCGGTGTTCGTGCTAGCCACAATAGCACTTATTAAAAAGTCCTCCTTGCCCTGGTGGTCACTACTATTGAAGTGTTTGGAGACGGGACACTGTTTATCTTGTGTAATGTTTCGGGGGTGTTTGGTACACCTGTCAGAGAGACGGCGTCCAGTCTCCCCTATGTATGTCATCTGACAGCGGATGCAGACAATGGTGTAGATAACGTTGCGGCTTGTACAGAGGAAACCGTCGCGTATCTGAAAACTGCCCTTGGGGAAACGTATGCGTTCAGTCTGGACGACAAAAGGGCACGTGTTGCAACGACTGCATCCACACGGCTTGGTCCCAAAGTGGGAGGGGGAGGTGGGGTCTGGTTTCAAGAAAGAATTTGAGAGCTAAGAGACCGTCAGTGTGGGGGATGGAAGTGTATAGAGAACATACACAAGAAGAAATAGGTGATGTTTCTTTTCAGGAGGGATTATGATAGATTCAAAGGCTTGTAGAGCATGGTTGGTGTCCTTAATGTAAGTGGGCAGTGAGGCAACGATGGGTTGAAAAACTCCATCAAGGAATTCCGAGATATGTTCGGTGGGGCAAGAGCATGCTGAGACAATGGGTCTGCCAGGGTTACCATACTTATGAATTTTGGGAAGTAGGTAGAAGCATGGCTTACCGAGGTCACTATCGAAGATGTGTAGGGCAGAGGCCGATTTGGGAAGCGCTGATTCTGCAATCATTTTCTTGATAGTCCCTTTCACCATGTCGTTATGTTTGGTGATAGGGTTGTTGGTCCTCGGTTGGTAGAACTGGCTGTCGTCTAGTTGCCTATGAGCCTCCTTGATGTAGAGATCTCTGTCCCACATCACAACAGCTCCCCCCTTATCAGCTGGTTTGATGACGATATCTTTCCGACTGCGCAGCTTAGAGAGTGCGAGTGATTCTCTTTTAGAAAGATTGGATTTCCGGAGTGGAGGTAAAGAGAGGTTCTTGATGTCATGTTCCGTGCTCTTTATATATAAGTCTAAAGCTTTAGATTGATTAAAAGGTGGTGTCCAAGTGGATTTGCGTTCCCTATGAAATGGGAAAATCTCGTCTTCGGGGAGGTCGGTACTTTTCCCACCGAAGTGAAACTGAAGCCTCAAGGAACGAAAGTAGCGGTGGGAATTCGAAAGAAGTTGATATCGGTCGCAAGATGGTTTCAGAGGAATAAATTTAAGACCCTTAGAAAGTAGCGACCTTTCATCATCAGAGAGTTGAAGTTCAAGGGGATGCACACGACTAAGTTGTTGCCTGTGACAGTTGGATGAGGTGTAGAGTTGTTAGTGGGCCTAAGTTGTTGCCTGTGACAGTTGGATGAGGTGTAGAGTTGTTAGTGGGCCTAAGTTGTTGCCTGTGACAGTTGGATGAGGTGTAGAGTTGTTAGTGTGCCTAAGATTGTCGAGTTTTTCTTTTTGTTGGTAGAAAGGAAGTGGTATAGTTCCCGATTAAGTTGGTGAATAATAGTTCTAATAAGGTCATACAATTGGCGGTTATTAGAGGTCTTAGAAAGGAGTCGACCTTCAAGTTGGTAAATCGCGGCACTGAGATCGGCGATGAGTCGCTTATGGCTGTGTATAAGAATATGCAAAAGCTGAAATGCCATTTTCTTCTCAAGTGATTGAAGTTTGGTCCTGTCGTCAGAGTTAAGGGAGCCAGCCGCCGGGTTGAAATTACTGGTAAAGCCTTTAGGTACAATGCGGAGACATATAAAGTTTTGAAGGAAATTGAGATGTACATTGTACCTAGTTTTCTTAAAAAGAGTGAATGCAAGTTCCTTACAGTCGGTGGCTAGGTTCGGTGGAAGTAAGCTAAAAACAGTTAAGATAAAGGAACGAAGTTGATTCATTGTGGTTTTGAAGGAAGGCATAATGGAGTAGTGACTGACCAGATAAAATCAATATGAATTACCCTCTCTCTATTTAATATTAAATTTAAGGGACGTTCATAAAATATTCCTTTGCAATTGACATTCAGGTCAGGCTTCTTTTCAAAAGTTTGTTAATAAAGTACAACGCGTTTCAAAATATATTAATTGATTATATGGGAATCGATTTATTGATTGGCATTTAAAAGTGAGAGAAGGGTACCAGCCAGAAGTTTGTATAATTTATTTTACTCTACGATTGTAGGCAGAGTAAAACCTTTATTTAAAAAATAAATTAAAAAAAATAAAACTAGACTTGGACCATGACAATGCTTAAAAAAAAAAAAATATTTGGAAACCCAAAAATAATGTTTTATTTAAGGAAACTCATTAAGGTGCAGGTTTATCATATCATATACACATATTTAAAAGTGAAAGTTTGTTTGGGTTGGATAAGTTCCACAGACGTTTTTACATGGATTGAAGGATCTTGACCAAACTTGGCACATATATAACATAGAAATGTAGTGATGCAAACCCTCATCCACTTGGACTTTAATTTAAAACGTTTTTGTTGAAATTCCTTTACAATGGTGTACAATTCGAAGAATAGAATGTTTTGCAATGGAATTTAAGATTAATTGTTGTCAAATTTACGTCAACTGCAAATTTCGATAGCCATTCCCTGTAAGTAAGTACTGATTATGCCCGTAACTTTTTTTTAAAGAGAAGTTTAATATTAGCTCTGCAATCTCCCAAGATACTTTCGAACATCGGAGTCCCCATTAGCTTTGTAATATCTGATGTTCCGAACGGAGGCCAACGCAGAGAATAAATTTCATAAAAGAAATTAAAACTTTCAATATAAACAAAACAAATCCACACTTTTTAAATATTTAGCCTGCAGATGAATAATACTATGAAAAACTATAGGATGGGAACAGCCAACTCTTTAAAATGGGCTAGTATATTTTCCTAACTAGACAGTTTGTTTTAAATCAGATGGTTTAATCCATACCCATTTTGACAAACATTAATTTTGACCAATTTACATATTTATGAAAAATTAATAGTTCAAAATGATTTGAAAAAAATATAGTTCCTGTTGATTTTTGCATAATATAAACTCAGATAATTATTGACATTTCAAAACTTCTATTTTCCCCATTTTGTAAAAATAAAAAAATGTATGGCATCAGTTACTTTGATAGCCCAATCAATAGTACAAAATTGCAACTCTTTGGCATCATCTCTCAGTTTACATACGATATTTCCTCCTTTATCCGATATTTGGTTTTTCATCCTCTTATATAAATTATAAATACATTTTAATAAATCATGATCTTCGAAAGGCTGAGATTCTTAAATAAGTCCCCGTCGTTAAATATTTTTAATTGTTTCTCTAATGATTGACACACCAAAACCATGTTCTCGCCGTAACTTCAATATCTGCAAGATGGGTTGCTGGGTGGCCGATCAGTCTAAACTTATTCTATTCCTCGCAAAAGTCTAACCCCAGCATCCCGGTAGATTGACTAGTTAACTTTGGATGACAACGCATTGAAGAGTAGGCAAACTGATATCAAACCTGTTGTATGGTTCCGTGTGACACAGACACAATGAAGATTCCATTAAGTCTTGGACCTGGAACACATAATGAGCACAGCGCCACACACTTACACGCACGTAAGAGACTGCTGGTCATTTGCTACATTCTGGTCCATTTCCAGTCGTCATTGGATCAAACAAGAGAGTGCGACTGACGAAGTGAGCAACTTTTTAAATAAAATGCTGCTCGACTTAATTATGCTGGATAGTTACCAGCACTGTATATTTGAACCAAAAACTTAAACTGCATGTTTTTAAATTTATTGTGTATGAAAATGCCAGAACTGTATTTTTATTGAATATTATAAAACTGTTTCATAGGAGAGATGTTAAAACTAAATACATATGACTCTATTGGGTTGAAAACAGCGAATGTATTTTTATACATGTTTAAAAACGGAATTTGTATATAAATAACGATGCAGTTAATTTAAAGCTGCTATGGCAATGAAAATAAAGCCAGTTATATAAGACCCGCGGGCTTAAGTTTGCCAGACCAAGTTCTAAATTGATCTTTATATATATTTGCGGTTATGCTGTTTCAAAGTATATTCCCAGGTATATAACAGCAAAAATATTTAACTGTACAATTGAAATGTATAAAATGACTTACGACTATCGTCTTTGTTGTTTAAGCCGTGAATAAATCCTAGTGGAGGAAAAAAAAATAAAGCTAAACATTTAAACAACCTTAGACAAGGTAAACTTAATGATGCATACTTTTATGGAAATATGGTACATTATGACATAAACAAATTAAGCAAAAGTTTCAGTCCGATCAGGATGGCATATATTTTTAAGCTACATTATAGAAAAGTTGGGCAACATCAACGTAAAAGGGCTCTTCAAAATTGCTGGTAAAGAAATAGGGCTTCAAATTGAATTTTAACCCAACTTAATGTATTTTGTTTGTATTGTTGATTCGAAGCAAAGAGAATAATATGTATGAAGATAAAAAAGTTTAAAAAATAATAAAAACCATAAATAAATCAAAATTATTTTACAACGTGCTATTTACCACTCTGCAATTGTCAAACATTTTCACACTTCTCAGTTACCCTTCCCTATCCATAGACGAGGAAGTAATTAATGGAATGACACCTTTATAAACACAAATCGGATATCGATTTTAAATATTTGCAGCTTTAGCAATCATAAAACATACAAAATGATTTTGTTAATGTTAATCTGTTAAGGAAGCACTGTTAAAACCGAAAGATTGTCTACAACCGGATTTATAAAATCGATAAGGTTTGCCAAAACCTGAAGCAAAATTAACTATTCCGAAATTTTAGATAATGTAAACATACTGCACATCCAATATAAAAAAACACCATCCCAAGATCCCTCCACACATTGGTACGAGGCCTTGGATGATGCAGCTCTTTTATATACTTTTAATGGTTGGTGCTGTGGCTTCTTAGCCAGGAGCATTATTATCGGGGGGGGGGGGGCTTTTTTTCTAAAGCCATTTTATTGTGGGTCCTTTTAGACGGGGACCATATTTTTAGGGGATCATTTGTAGGAGTCATATTTTCGGTGGCTCTTTCTTCATCGCCATATTGTCACGAGTCTTTAGGTCGGGAGCCATAATTTCGGAAAAAAATTATGTAAGGCCTTATTGACAAGGCTCTTTGAGTTTTTAATCTAATCAGAACCAAATAAATATGTTTAAAAATTAACAAAGTATTTAAAAAATGTATGCCATTATCCAGCAATTTAAACGGTAGTTACGAATCATAATTGTATTTCTAAAAATCTTTTTTGAAACAGGGTTTTCTACTTTTAGTTAGGTCATTTAGCCTTATTCCAACAAAATAAAGACCGACCGAAAGTGATTTTCTGATTTCGGCCGAAACCGTAAAAAGCCCAAAAGGTTGATATGACTTTCGACTGAAACTGAAATAGGCCAACATTTAAAAATAACTTTCAACCGAAATTGAAACCGAAAGCGAAAGCGTAAAAAGACTTTCGGCCGAAGCCAAAGCCGAAGCTGAAAATGAAATATTTAGATATTTAAACATTTGTTCACGCATACATTCTGCATACATTGAAAGTGATGGGGGAAAGTATCAGTATTTTCATTCCTTTTATAAAAAATGAGATAATGGTGAATATTAATAAGTAAACATCTAATATAGCGGTCTCAAACTTGCGTTCCGTGGGCCATTTGTGACCTGCCAGACGATATTTTGCGGCCCACTACATGACAGCTAAGTTTATTGTTAATGCAGCTGACGCATGTTCCCAATTGTCATTTCTATACTGTGACTCTCCTCGACGGTTTAAGTGGAATCTCACCGACTAGTCTAATTCTGATTTTTATTCCGTTTCTATATATTTGTATGATTATTTTAATGGTAAGTACCGTTTTAAAATGGGACCAAAAGTTTTTATTTTATAGCTTTTTATGAGACAAACATGGCAAAGAGTGCGGCTTTGAGAAAAGTTTTTAAAAGTAAATTGGCGGATAATACATAACCTAAATTGTGTAAATCGTAGCAATCTGATACATTATTAAAGGATTCCTATTAAAATTGCCGCTAGTGTTTACGAGTGAGCGAAATTCCGAGCCTGTCAGCTTGGTTACTTTCAGAATCTTTTTCTTCTTATGCCTTTTTAAACTGTCTAGGGAAATGGACATCCACAAGAATTCTCCATTCATCACTGTTCTGTGCTTTCCTTTCCAGTTGTTTCCAGGTGTATCCCATATTTTTCGTTGCTGCCTCTAGCTTACGTCTCCATGTATTCTTTGGCTTTCATCTCTTTCTGCAACCCTGTGGGTTTCCAAGTGAGAAATTTTCTGGTGATGCTATCTGGGGGTTTTCGGAGAGTATGTCCTATCCATCTCCATCTATTCTTTAAGATGTTTCCGTCGATGGACATCTGGTGAGTACTTTCAATAGATCTTTAATGGTAATACTTTTTGACCATTTGATGTTCAGGATCGCTCTAAGGCATGTGTTTATGAAGGTTTCTACTTGCTGCGTAATTCTCGTCATTTTTTCCAAGTTTCTGTTCCATATAGTAGGACTGTCTTTCAAGATCGGGTTGGTCAAAAGACATTTACTACGATAAAAGGTAAAAATGCATTATGCCTGACATAGCTGCTTCCTTCGCATCAATAATTAATAGATTTAATCTGCTCTGTCTGACACGCTTTAGCAGTTAAAGCCTTCATAAAAAAGGATGGGCTGGTTGTTCCTGTTATTAATGATACCAAATTGCTCAAGAACTTGGTTTTTCTTGTTGACATTACACAGGAGCTGAATGTACTCAACAAGAAGTTACAAGACCAGGGGTACCTTGTCAGTGTTGTCGATGACAATGACAGGGCGTTCGTTACAAAACTTGTGTTATGGTTCCTAAAGAAATATCTTTCATTTTCCAACATGCAGAGTACTCATGGACTCCTGCACTTCATTCAGTAGTAACTCAGTAGTAAGTTTACTGATGCCATTGCAAAGCTACAGGAAAATTATTGATCACATTTTTTAAACTTTAAAACACATACAGCTGTCTTTCAGCTTTTTACTGACCCTTTCTTCTGTAATGTGCAAGATGCCCCGTGCAGAGAGCTAAATGGAAAACAGACAAGCATGGACTTTATATTGCATTGCCCTCCACCTTCCCTGAGATTTCAAGGTTTTTCAAGGTGATCATATGACATTTTGGAGTACCCCTCTGTTTGAAACGCTGTTTTCCACTATCCACTATAAACTTTAACAAGTGAACGTTCAGTGCCAAACTTACTGATGAGGAGCTTCAAGCTTTATAGTGGTCTCAGGTGCTTCTTCAATCAAGCCAAAGTTGCTCAGCTGTATAAAAAGAAGCGCTGCCAGGTCTCTGACAAAAAGTGTAGGTGGAAGAAAGTGAAGCCTAGTTCTTGAGAACCCTTCAATGTTTTTATTTGTTATTTAAAAAGGTTGAGCAGATGTAACAGTTATACTTTAATGAATTTGTAATCACTGTGTTGTGGAATACTCGATGCAGCTCCAGGCTCACTCAGACTCTACCTCCTGCGGACCTCCTGATAATTTGAGTTTGAGACCCTTGATCTAATGAATACTTTGGCTTTTACCATTTTAGATTAAAACTTAGTTAAATTGCTTTTAATGTTGTTTTTTTTAAACAGTAAGGAAGGAGAAAATTGGGAAAGATTGGTGGGGGTGGGGAAGTCGGGGGTAGAGGCAAAATTAATGCAAAATACACCCTTGAGAGCCCTTTGCTTTAATAACATAATTACACCCTAGAACATGTCCTACTTTAATTATTTTTGCCACCTAAATATATGTAATTAAGGCTATAAAATTATCGGCTCAATGTTTCACTCTTATCGTAATACTAATGCTTTGTGTTTTCATTAATAGCTTGCAAGATATCAATGTATTAATATTTAGCCTAGTAACAACACACTAGTATTTCTGTGCTGATAAGTCATTATTTCGTTCGACGACCAAACTCCCTCACCCTTTGGTGGCTACTTTTTTTTTTTTTAAACGGGTCTCTTAAATTGTTGCTCTGATGTCTCTAGACGTAGAGTCGCAAAAGACACCTAAATTTGTCGCCAATATCATAAAAAGTAAGTAGGTCTGCAGTAGACCTACTACATAATTATAATACGAACCAGTGATGCATGTACACACATGTTATTTCGTCAATAAAAGTTTTACGGGCAAGACAATGATGAATTTCAAGGAATGAATGGTTTGAAAAGGCCTAAGTTTGCTTTTAAAAATTAAAAAAAAAAAATAAAAAATAATTAAAATGGAAATGTTACCATTCCCATGGATTATGCAATATTATTCACCTTGGCATATGACAATATTGAATAGAATGATAACAATCAATCAAAATGAATATAAAAAAATGAATGAATTGATTAAACCTAGGTTTCAATATTTTATTTTTGAAACAAAAATTGAAACAAAAATAATGATAACATTCCTTTAGTTTTTCTTCCACAAAAGTGTTTACATTTGTCTAGGTCTAATTGAAATTAAATTGTTTGGAAATATAGGGCAAGTAGGTCATTATGCAGCTGTATTCAGCTTTCGCTGAGTATCAGTCATTTAACATACAATGACAGCAAGACGTCGATCACTAATGAATATCAGATTGTCGGCCTAGAGACAGACAGTCTGAATTTAACTAGATGAAGCCGAAACTCGGTAGGTCTCTAAAATCTACATACCTCATATTGTATTATAGATTTATTTAATTAAAAGTATTCTTTAAGTACTTTAAACAATACATAAAATAAAGGTGTTAGTTAACAAAAAAATCCGTCCATTAATATATCAACAAATATAAAGACATTTTGATAGTTCCATCCCAACCGTCAAATAATATCAACATTTAATGTATAACCCTAATTAATTATCTTAAAATACTTTTAGCATAAAAAGATAAGGGAAAAATATATTAAAATGTGAATCTTTAAAAAAAAATTAATTTAAGATCAATCAGCTGGGGAAAAAACATGTATTTTAGTGTATAAAAGATCTTTAAAAAATTTTAAGTGTGTAATAATATTAATCTCTGACTATATTGTATTTTATATTACACACTTTATTAAAGATATACAATTTTTAACCACTATTATTTCAATATTTATTGCTTTTTTTTTAAAAATCTTTTTGTTAAGCAAATAGTTCCTATTTTCGATATCGCATAAGAACTGATTAATTTATACCTGCAATATTAACATTATTATGGAACAGGATGGCATCATTTGTTTGTAGTCTACATTTTCTGCGATTAAAATACAGAAGTTTCTCTTTCTGCAATAACTTCCATCATATTGACCGGTTTTGAAAAGCAACGAGCATTTTTTTTTAATAGATTACATTGTTGATATCTTATGCTCAATAACGCTTCGTCGGTGCTGTTCTGACTATTCGAAAGTATAGGAAGTATTGTAGCCATTAAAATTAAGAAACACATCAAGGCCTATGTGTACCTTTTTCAAACACTTTTTTAATATTTATAAAAAAAGAGAATTATTGATGTAGATTTATTTTTACTCAACTTTGTCAAGGACAGATAATATATTAATAAATCTCTTTGCCCCCCCCCCCCCCCATATGTGGATGCAAAAAAAAAAATTTTTAATATTTAAAAAAAAAGAAAATTATTGATGTATATTTATTTTACTCAACTTTGTAAAGGACAGATAATATATTAATAAATCTCTTTGCCCCCCCCCCCCATTTTGATGATGCAAAAAATAAATGGCAACTAACTTTTAATAATCATAAATATTAGTTGGGCAGTGAAAAACTAAGTCATAGCCTTGTACAAAATACTGTCCTGGGTAATTATATTTTAGGGAAACAGTGGTCGGCGCTAGCGATAAGGAATGGAGCCAAATAGGATGTGGCCAAAAAAAGGTTTGAAGCGATTGATTTAATATATACTTAAATAATGTGTTTTTTTTTTTTAATTAGGTAGGATATCACATAATTATAGATAATACCTACCAAACAAGTAGGCCAACAGTAATAATCGAACACACAATTGTGACGAAAGCTGGGTTTAAAAGGTAATTGGGAAACCAATCTGACTTAACATCTTTGATATTCGAATCGGTCGATAAGGTTTGTTCTGTGGATGTTTTTCTATCTGTGGAAGAGTATGAATATATTTATTTGAATTCAGAGGATTTTTTTTAAAAGAAAGTAAATAGTTCAAATAAATTTAATTTTTATGTGATGACTTTTCTTCAAAATGGATTTTCATTTATTTGAAAACATAATTTTTTTTTAACAATTTGGAATATTAATTATTTTTACTCTTACTCTTATATTTATAATATTTGTTTACGAAGTACAATTATTGTTTTTTCTTAAACTAATTTAATATGCATAATAATAAGAATAATAGTAGTTTGTGAACAAAATTAAATATTCGCTGGTGTATTCGAGAAAAATGAATAGCCTATAGTTCGTTTGTATCATTTTTAAAAAAAAACCTTAGTATCACTGCCTCTTTTAAGCGTGTTTTCAATTAAGTTTTTGTCTTTATTAAATGGGGATCAAAATATTACAGCAAATATCTGGCACGTATAAAGGTATAGATAGGGAACTGATGAGAGAGAGCAGTAGGATACTAGGTGAACAACCACTTTATACATTTTTTTAAAACAAATATTAGGAATGCAGAGATTAGAAAAGACAGGGAGAAATACTAATCACCACTAAAGGGCATAACGCATTGGTCAGTCCAAAAATTCTAAATAAGACAAATGAAATGATATTTTCCATAAAGAATAACAGAACCTTATGGAGAGATGCTATCATTTCAAAGGTAGTAAACTTTGTGGACAATCTATAAAGACCAATATACGACTTTATATCCATAAAACGTCAACAATAGAAATGATCAAGAAATATTGCATCACAATCATTGTTCCAATTCAAAGTGAGTATCAAAACCATATTACATCAAGTATGGTGTTATCTCCCTTCACACCAGTGTTGTCTGTAAATTGTGGGCCTGTGCGTACGCACTAGATAACATGGATTTTGTTTTCTAAATGCAATTTTTTTGAAAAAAAAGTTATTAAATTGAAAAATATTTTGAAATTAAATTTTTAGTACACTACTGTTCAGGCAACAAAATGGATTGTGATGATTATCAAGACATTTTTAATTATAATGCTTGTACAAGAAATTATGGCATCATCATTCAGTACTTTATTGAAGGGTTGCAAACATGATCCCCATTCAAAGTACTGCCACCACACACGTTGAATGATCCAAAAATGTTTTGTACTAGAACTTCTTAATGTTGTGTTTGAAGAAATTAAAGTTTATGTCTTTAATTGCAAGTTGATTCCCAACAATTGATGCAACAACATGTCTTACTAATGCAAAGATAAACCAGACCAAATAGCAATGCCACGGAGACTTCCTAACTAATGTGAAATTTAAAGCATGTTTCAATAGATTCAAATACATATCTAAGATTTTTTAAATCAAAAGACATATTTCTAGAAAAGTACATTTAAAATTTGATGCCACAAAGCTGAAATCCCATTATGACAAAATGGTTTGAGATTATGTGTGTTGTTTTATCTATCATTCTTAGTATCTTGTGACGTATTGTGTGGAAAGGGATATGACGTATCCAGTATCCAGCGACCATCGTATGCTGCTGTGCTGTTTCCCGGTTTGACGTTAGGCCACTGCCTGGCCTGTATCCTGCTTGGCCAGTATCCCACTGGGCCTGTATCCCGCGACCACCGCATGCCTCTGTGCTGTTTCCTGGTTTGATGGTAAACCGCTGCCTGGCCTGTACCCTGCTGGGCCCGCATCACTCTGTGACTGCATCCTGACGTTACTGTTTCCTGCTGTGCACTGTGCTGTACCCCTATTTGACATTGTACTCATGCCCGTTCAGTGACAATTGTGCTCCAGAGATCAGTGAGGGACAAGATAAAGACTTGAGTTACATGTTTTATTTGTGTTCTCTTTATAGTTATGTAAGATTTTGTTCATAAACATATATAGATAGATAGATATACATACCTTTTGTGCTATATAACATATTTAAATGTATTATTTTAGTCTGTTGTATTGGACCCTTCCCAATTGTTAAATTTATGATTATAAACAATGGAAACAACGAGTGTATATGAAACCTATATGTTGGAACTACGAGAGTTTGGAGAGGACCTGGGTTATAAAGACGAGGCTCTTACTAGGTGGGTGGAAAGGAAACTGATAGAAAAAGATAAGCTAGATAGGGAGGATAGGGATAAAGAACGAGATAGACAAGATAAGCTAGAACGAGAAGAACGTGAAAGACAAGCTAGACTAGAACGGGAAGAAGGAGATAGACAAGCTAGAGAACGAGATAGACAAAATAGGCTAGAACGGGAAGAACAAGAAAGACAAGTTAGGCTAGAACAGGAAGAACGAGATAGACAAGCTAGAGAACGAGATAGACAAGATAGGCTAGAACGGGAAGAACGAGATAGACAAGCTAGAGAACGAGATAGACAAGATAGGCTAGAACGGGAAGAACAAGAAAGACAGGTTAGGCGAGAACAGCTGGACCAGGAGTTGGCACAGGCAGAGTTAATGTTGCAGGAAAAACATAATATGTGGAGAGAAGAATTAAGTAGGAAACAAGTGGCTGAGGTTGAGAAATGGAAGAGGGAGAGACAGAGAGATTATATTCGTGTGGCTAAGGAAAGCAGGAGGCAGTGGGTGAAAGTTAAAAAGAGTAAAATCACTTTTGTCAAAGAGGTTAAGAAACATATTAACGAAGTTGTGGAGGAACTTGGGTATCCTGAGGAACGTGGTGCTGATGTGGCTGAGGACAGGGAGAACGATTTGTTCATGGGGGCTATTAACGAGGTAAATTTCAATGACCATATGGTTGACATTAAGGAGGCCAGGAACGTTTTAAATGTAGCTGAATGTCAGGAGTCAGATAGACATTTTACATGCCAGGATATTGAAAACCTGGGTGCTGCGTGTGAGAAAATTGACGCAGTTGTACTGAAGTAGGCATAGAACAGTGTAGTCTTGAGGATATTTCAATTGACATAGAGACTGTAATTAGAACTGGCCTGGTACAAGAGGCAGATATTGATTTTGAACAGCAAGGGCATGTGGGTTTAACACAAGAGATATTTGTTGATTTTGTAAACAAATTAGATGCTGGTTTAGTACAGGAGGGAAATGTTGTTTCTGTACAGCAAGGAGATTTTGGTTTGATGCATGAGGGCATTGTTGATTATGTACAACAAGGACATGTTGGTTTAATACATGCTATATTTGTTGATTTTGTAAACAAAGGAGATGCTGGTTTAGTACAGAAGGGATTTATTGATTTTGTAAACCAAGAAGATATTGGCTTGGTACAGGAGGTATTTGCTAATGTTATACATCAGGGAGATCTGGGTTTAGTACCAGAGGCATTTCTTGATTGTATACAGCAAGCAGATGTTGACTTTGTGCAAGAGGGAGATGTTCATAATATTAAGAAGTGGACAAGCTACGGAGATCACGAGGTAGAGGTCGTGAGCTTGTCAAGTGAGCGTATTTTTAACAAGGTGGAGGACATTGGAGATCACTTTACATGGAGCTACGAGGGAAGTAGTCCAGTCAGTGAATTTTTGTGTGTGGGAGACACGGGTTGTTCGAGGACCGAGAGCCTTGGTGGTACTGAGATGAACATTTTTAATCCTTATTATGAACATTACGTAGAGGATGAGAGTTTTCCCATGAGAGCGGGGTAGTAGAGAAAATTTGTGTTGATGTTTATGTGCGTGATATATATAATCATGAGAGCCAGGAGTGCTCAAATTTTGAGAGCCATGACAGGTCTGTTTTGTTCATGGTTGCAATTTTAATGATGATGAGATTATTATATTTAAGAATTTAAATGTGCAAAGATTGCATTTGTTAGTCAATAATGTGTGAAAAGGCCATAACAAAATGAAGCAAGTGAGAATTGAGAGGGAAGAGTTAAGCTGGTGGGAAAATGTGCACGCTTTTTGTCAGGCGACTGACAGGCGTAATATCCCGCCCTCTTTAAATATGAATTAGGAACTGGACAATTTAAGGATGTCCACATGTGTCCATAGATGTTATTTTTTTTCCATTTAACAGGCAGAGTTTCGTTTATTTTGTGGTCAATTTTTGTGTGCGGGACAATAATTTTGTTGTCAATGTTATAATTTTTCCTAATTTGAAAGCGTATATAAAATCTAACAGACGTTAAAATTTAGCTTTGAAGTTTTCATTTTTAGGATGTTGTTTTCAAAAGTTTGTATGTCATTGTTCATTTTTTAAATTAATTTTCATGGTAATAACATTATGAAATTATGGTGTATTCTTTCTATGGCAAAACACTGAGTAGAGTTTTGTACAGACACTATACATTTGTGCCTGAGACGAGCAGTTTAACTAGTCAGGGCGGTATAGTGGAATCCTCGTGCAAGATAGCCTGGTGATGGTTTCAGAATTTAGGTACCTAGGCAGTATCTTTAGGACATAGCAATGTTTAGATGCTACTGTTTTGAGCATGCCTAAGTAGGGGGGATGATTATGCGAACCACTGCGATATTGGGCGACGCCCTGATTTTGACAAGAGGGAGATTTGGATCTTGTCCGAGGTTCGAAAATGTTGGGACCTGGACAGGCCACGGTAATCACGATGTAGTGGTCGTGAACTTGTCAAGGATTTCCTAAAACTGGGGGGGGGGGGGCTGCGTGTCGAGTCCATCTCCAACTCAATTTTGCTTTGGCTAATGGTTTTTACCTTAGTTACATGATGGGACCTGGACAGGCCACGGTAATCACGATGTAGTGGTCGTGAACTTGTCAAGGATTTCCTAAAACTGGGGGGGGGGGGCTGCGTGTCGAGTCCATCTACAACTCAATTTTGCTTTGGCTAATGGTTTTTACCTTAGTTACATGGAGGAGGCTATTTTTTGTCCCCCATTGTTCGAGTTGGATGAGAGAATATTTGTTTTCATAATGTACACGTGAAGATGATATATTATGTTTGGCAGCAGGAATTGCTCAGAATTAAATTGTATTTAAGGGTTTGACTTTGTTGAGTTGGGAGGTGTTACTAACAATTTTGATGTATGTTGCCAGATTGGTTAAACATTTTTGGGGTGACAATGTGTTATAAGTTTGTTTGTAATACATGTCACTTAATTGAAAATGTAATATTGCAATTGATTGGTTTACATTTGGTATTTACTCTTGTTAATTGTTTGATGTCTATTGACAAATTTTTGGATATGTATTTGTCGGTGACATGATTTTTTCAAATTAATGTCAAAGGGAGCGGGGGAGGAATGTTAGGGACTTGAGTGTATAGTGTGATTGCGTGTTGGTTTGAGATTATGTGTGTTGTTTTATCTATCATTCTTAGTATCTTGTGACGTATTGTGTGGAAAGGGATATGAAGTATTATTAGGGTAGAGGGTTGTGGAGTATTGTTCTTTTAGTACGGTAATGGCAGTTGAGGACTTAGTTTGTTTAATAAATATATTTTATCTAATAATTATAGTTGTGAAGTGTATATAATAAACCCCTAGACAACGAAGCCAACGAACCTATTAACTAAGAATAGGTTTGTAACACTTCATTAACATCACATCAGACACAAGTGTGCGAAATATGCATGTACCTATTAGTAAAACAACTACTGTATTTGGCGGAGGACACTTAAAAGATGTCATCAAACATTGTTCCTTGTAACGAAATGTGCATAGCCCTATAAACATTGTTCATTCAGTTTTCGTTAAATCATTATAAAACAGGTTTTGAAAACTAGTTTCTTAAACCTAGACAACCCACCGAATCCGGTCGAATATTTAATAGTTGAATGCTCATTTTTTAGGGCTCTAAGAATATAAAATGTCTCCTTTAATAAGTATACTTATTTCAAAAGCCAAGTAGTAGTTTGTTCAAACGAATCAGCTTATTATTGAATTAATAGAGAAAAAAACAGATTTAATGGTACAAAATTACAAGTCAACATTAAGTTATACTTTGAAATTAAAATTTAATTACATATTTATTGTTCGCATGTGTGCTCCGCAAATTATTTTATGATTTTTTAATCTTACGGTGCATTTTTGCCCACTACGCTGCTCTATGGCAGTAGAGGGTGGACAACATGCATTAATCATCATAATATCAGTAGCGCTACAGCCCGTTTAGGGTAATGGCCTGCTCCATCACATCCTTCCATTTTGATCTATCCATGGCGTTCCTTCTCCATGCGCGAAACCCCAACAGGTGTAAGTCGTTTTTAACATAGTGGATCCATCTCAGCCTCGGGCGACCGGTCTACCGTCTGCCCCTAGGTTTTAGCCTATATATCATCTTTGCTGCTGGACAATTCGGCATTCTTGTAGTATGTCCTTCCCAGCGCAGTCTAACATTTTTTATTTTTTTTTGGGATTATGGGTGGCTTTTGTACAATTAATATAGCCCTGGGTTAAATGGATACTCAAAAAACATTTTTTATATGACTGGGCCGTATATTTTTCTGATGATTTTCCTCTCCCGTGTATTGAGCAGATTCTCTGCTTTTCTGGTAGGGGACCAAGCCAGACTAGCGTAAATTACCACTGGTCTTATAATAGTAATGCTTATTTTCTTATTGGTTCCACTTAAAAGGTTTTAGCTTCCCAGTATGTTTTGTATCAATCACGATTGGAAAGACATATTGAGTGATAACATATTTCAAAGAATCTGGTTAATTGGAAATTGCTTATGCAAGAAGACGTATTGAACGGACGCAGCTGTTTATAAAGACGTTTGAGAAAGAAAATAATGTGTTAATGAACCATTAAAATTTGCAATGGAGCGTCTTAATGATGACCGTTCCTGCATGCAAACAGTTGTATAATGCTGTGCCCAATAGGCAGAGGGCTCGCTAATCAAAATTATTTTTGTAGATTGAACAAAAAATAAACAGGTCAACTAAATATTATCAAAGTCTTTTATATAGGAGGGTATTCAAGATGACCCACCAGGACAGCTTCATTGCCATTAGACTTAATAATATCTTACCTGATTTTAGATTAAACCTAATGGTCTTTACATTTCTGTCTAATCTGCACGCACCATACTTTGTAATGACTATAGTATCATGTATCTTGCTATATATGTGATGGTACACAGCATAACCATAGCCATATACTACTTCAGTTGAAATGTTTGTTGAGATTTCAATCAAACAAGGAGATACTTGACTTTCACAGATATAAACAATATTGACATCAGTTTCATTTACGATGAGCAGATGATCATCTTTTATGGCCGAAATTTCTTTTCCATTGAAGATTAATCTACTGCTCACATCTGAGACATCTTAAGAAGATTAAACAATAATATAAGCAACATTGACTTGTGTCAACATTGTATTACTAGCTTAAAAATTATTAATACAAAAATGTAAATGACAATACGATTTTTCATTGTTTGTTTTCTTTTTTTGTCGTATGTTATTTTTTTTTCTGTTAACATATATTTTATGTTATACACTTTAAAAATAACAGAAGGAAATTTAAATTAAGACATAAATGAACGTACCATATATTTTAGGAAAATGAAGGTATTCGCTATTAATCTCAAAAGACTCTGAAGTAAACACCTTTACATATATCCTTGCACCACTGTATTCTTTTGAAGCATCAACTTTGATTGTTATTACTACATGACTTGCATCCGTGTGCTTGCATTCAGTGTTATTTATGTAACAGTCTTCTTGTATATTATAAATTTTTACCTGAAATTAAATTATAATGTCAATGTAATCATATGACTACATTTGTTAAATAACATAGATTTTAGAATATGCACAAATTCCAAGAATTTTGAATTTTTAAAAATTATATTAATATTGTTACTACGAGAATAAATGACCCGATATTATCCAGATAATAATGATAGGTCCTTTGCGTAAATTTCTAAGTGCTATTGCAAAAACTTATCACCATCCATAACTTTAAATATATAATGATATTTACATTTATAACATCATTAAGTTTTGAGAAGTATTTATCTGCTGCACTGATTGTCTTAAACAGCATTTTCTTATTAGAATAATATTTAAAATTTAGAATTTATTATTTTAAAATTTTTAAAAATTATATTTTTGGAATAAAAAAGGAAAAAAACTTTTGAAATGTTAAAACATCAAAGCTAAAATGTGTGGGTGTTTTATAAACAATTCAAAAAGCAATCAATTGTATTTATTAAGTTTACTTTTAAAAGGGAAAATAAATTATCAGTTTTGTCAAGCACGGTTATTAAATTTTAAGAAACTTGAGAGTTTTGGCAAAATAGGCTATTCACGCACGCTATGACGTCATTGACGTGATTATTGAGAACAAATTAATTCGATTTGTATTTCGCAATGTAAACAACGCACTAAAAGACGCACTAAAAACTACTGATTTCCGATAAATTTGATTACGGTGTAAGTCTTTAAGTATGATATTTTTTTTACATTTTTTTTTATAACTTTCAAACACATAAAAAGTGCTTAAATTAGTTCCTTATTTGATACTTTAAATGTATTTGTAATTTATAATAATAATATTTAAACTTTTACTAAAATAAAAGCCGATTTAAAATATTTTTGCACATTTAAATTTATTCGATTTCCGTAAAATAATAGAAAATAGCAATGATTGTTTATAGGAATCCGAACCTATTTAAAAGTATCTCTCTTTTGTGAACCTAGCTCATTCTTATATATTTTGTACCGATATCATAAATGCCAAGTTGTATCATTAACACATGACGTTCCTTTTAGTTAATCAAGAGACATGGAGATAAAAGAATTTCTGTCTAGGGAACCAGCGTATCCTTCAAAAGAAAAGAAAATCCCTGGCCTTAAAAGTTCATCCAGTAAATTCTACACCATCGCCCCATGTGACGGGCTAATGCAAAAAAAATATATCTTTAATGTAACGCTGTTGGTAGTGTATGCGTAATGGGTAGAGCTATTTTAGTGAGTATATTTTGTGTAGAGATTAAGTGTGTAATTGTTAAGGTTTAGTTTCTATTGTGACATTAATGTCTAGAGATGCTACAATTTGGAGAAGACGAAATAAAAAGGCAAATCTAGAAAAACCGAAATGCCACTTAAATATGGCATGAAGTTTTTAAGAGAAAGAATTAATAATGCGCAACCCAGCTGACACGATGCTAACATGACCATGCTACTTTTTTCACATTGCATATGGTGTATCCCAGAAAAGCTAATTTAAAAATAAAATATCCATTCTGAGTAGACAATGTGCCCTGATTTGTTACCATTTGGCTTTTGATGGATCACATATCTGAAGAAAAGTGTTGGTTAATGAAACTTTTACTGCTTTAATGCTACTCATACTCATTGCCTTTGTGGTTTTCAATTCGACCACTTCCTAAACGCAGGGAAGCTGACTCATTATTTCATTAATGATATTATTGCAAGATTAAAATAATATGGACAGATAAAATGGAAAGTTTGAGGGCAAGCTTAAAATATGTGTTACACCATCAAGGAAACTAAAGCGGTATAGAAAAAAAACCATCAAGTACAAACTTATATCTTTCTGTAAACTTAATTTAGGAAAACCTTAATTCCAGAAAATATTTATATTTTAAAATTACCGAACATTACTTTTGGGATGACAAAAATTAAAAATCAAATCAAATGTCTTAGAAGATAGGAAACTACAATGTGCCAGAATGTTGACCGTGTGATCTACGGATAGTGAAAACTGGTTACTCAGAATTATCCACTTCAATGTTAGACGAGTAACGTAATTTGATAACCTAAGTATGGTCGCAATAAATAATATTTCATTTGAAACTTTCCAAGAATTATGAACTACAAGAGGATTACAGATGATTACTAAAAATGGAACAAAATTCCTAATAGTATCTGCAATCCATCAAATGTCTCTAAAACTTAGTTAAATGTTTGCATTTATTTGTATCATGTGTCAGAGGCAAAACTTTTTTTGACAGGCATACGGACAGTCTTATGCACGTCTAAAAGAGACGCTTTCCTAATGGATAAAATGCTCTATATTTGAACTTAAAGTTATTGAATCGTTCCTTCAAATACATAGAATGACATTGGCAGATTTTTCAAGATTGTCCAGACGGTAACTATTACAATTACATCGATCCCGGAAAATATACGGATCCAATAGCAGACAAAACCATTTTGAAATAAAACTTTCAAACGATTAACCTAGGACAAAGAAAAGCTTTAGACAACATAAAGGAAAGAATTGTAACTTAAACAAACGTCTATTCTGTATTATTTGTCCTTCGACTTCCTTTACTATACAAGCTTGCACTAAATGCGTAGCGAAATTGAATAAGGTTTTTAGGCATAAACGGAAACAAATCCTTGCGGTAGTCAGAATTTCCAACACCCACTCCGCTTGGCTTATTCCAATGAATCAAACAATAACCAGCAATGTTGGGCATGGGGTTAATACGGCTATTGAACTGAAAAAGGCAAATATGATAATGTGCGGTAAAGTTTCAATAATGTCATCTTAAAGATTAAATGCAGTTGAAAAACTGAAAAAAAATAATAATTCTTAGCGGAAGATGAAAAAGCATTGTCTGAAAATGAGAACAATGCTCCATCCTATTAAAGATGCTTTCCCAACTGGCTTTCAAAACTTGACAATGGAAAGTTCCAATAGCCTGAATTAAACGAAGGCTCTTCGAAATTTAGCCAGTCTGCAATTTATTTCTGTATTTCTTTAGGTCATCCAATAAAGAGATGAAAGCATTGCTAACTGTAAAATATTGACTCAAAAAAACAAAAACACAATCAAATTGAACTTAATGGAAATGTCAGACAAATTCAATCTAAACTAAAATGCTATTCACTAGGATTGTGTAAATGTCAAGGAGGGAGCAAACTATCCAATGGATGTTTTGAACAACTTAACGCCTGGAGATATGCCTCCTCATAGACTTAAATTGAAAGTTGTTGCAGATATAATGTTGCTACAAAATTTTACTCAAATTTTGTTCTTTGAAATGCCACGAAAACCACGTCGAACAACTAATTTCAAACTTCATTGACTTTAGAAGACTAACCGGATCTATTAATGGTAACAGGGTATTTATTACAAAAAGTATTTATTCACCCAGTTCGCTTGACTTTACATTACTATTAAGATGAAGACGATTTCTTTATAGACATGCATTTGCTATGAAAATCAAAAAAAGCTAACAACAAATATTAAATTCACTTGTAATTTATTGCGATAACTTGTATTCAGACATGTAAAAACGTATTTTGAATTTTCAAGATAAAAGTCTATTCATCAAGTCAAGATAAAAGTGTTAAGAACTAAACAAAAAGACAACTTAACAAAAGACTCCATAATTTACACCGAAATTGTAGTCTACACAATTTGTCCGCCCTATATTTCTATTCAGGAGAGGCTCTTTAAAAATGAGTCCAAAAAATCCAGCCAACCGGGCGTAGAACGGATACTTTTCCAAGCATATATAATGAGCTTCCAGTTACCAATAAGAAAGCTAACTTTCAATTTTTGTAGGTACCGAAATGATGAAAAACATGAAAGCGTTGAAAGAATATCAATGTATAAATATAAGTTGAGGCCAAAGCCCGAAATCGGCAAAACTGGGAAATGGCCGGTCAAATTGGGAAATGGCTGGTCAAATTGGGAAATGGCCAATATCACCTCACAAAGACCGGACAATATCTGATATTTTCTTGACACTTCACTACTAAAATTTTAACATTTACTGAGCGCCGACGGCACCCTGTGCGATTGCACAGGTCGCACACCTTGAATGCAGGCCCTGTAAGGTTTTGAAATTGTCTGCAAGTAATTTTCCATCCGCATCCTTTCTCTGCGTCATTACTTAATCCACAACTTGCGTGGACATCGTTGCCACATGACCCGCATGCACAAGAATGAGCTGATTAACACTGTGTTTCATATCTACACTTAATGTGTTTACATTGTTATTAGTCTTGCATTAGCACATAGAATATAGGCCAGGGGTATCCCGGCACTTCGGGAAGTGGCCGGCCCAAGTAGCATATACACTAGCTGTTTGAATTACATCGGACATTGGCAACACGCCTCTGTCAAAGTGCAAAATGGCCGGCCGATTCGAGAACTGCCAAACTTCGGGCTTTGGCCATAACACACAAATATATATATATATATATATATAAAAATAAAATTCCCGATTATTAATTTTTATATATATATATATATATAAAAATATAATTCTTGATAATTATATTTTATA